CGGCGGCACAGCGGTCCCGGCGCCCAGCCCCGTGCGGCAGGCCCAGGCTGTCCCGTCCTGGCCCGCCCCGCTGGCGGGCGTGGCTGCCACACCGGCTCCCGCGGCCCCGGCCTCGCCCAGGCTGCGCCCTCCGCGTGGGAACCCAGCCGCCGGCACCATGTCTCCCGCGCCCCCGTGAGGAGCAGGGACCCCTGGCCTCGGCCTGTGCTGGCCGGGGGGTCCCTCCTGGCTTTGGGGACAGCAGGTGAGCGGACGGCAGGCTGTGGGGAGGGGCCGAGGCTGTGGTTCCGGCGTGGGGCTCGGGTGGCCCCTGGGGGAGGTCCTGGCGGCAGCGGCTGTGCTGCAGGGGGACCGGAGGGTGTGTGTGGGGATATCCCGGGAGGGGGTGCGGGGAGGCGGGGAGGTCACAGCCCAGCTCCCTGGTGGAGACAGCTGAGTGGCCCACCCGCCCCCTCTGCCCGGCCTGTGTCCTCGGGGCCTGGGGATGGGACGGGACGGGACGGGACGGTGGGTCTCCACGCAGGAGAGGGCTCCCTGGGGACAGTGTGGCTGGGTGGGTGGCCGTCTGGAACCTCTTCTGAGCAGAGGCCCCGGCGCTGAGGGCTCGTCGGCAGGTTGGGGTGTGGTCCGTCCCCCGGGCGGCACAGGGCCCGTCCCGCCTGTGCTCGCCGGCTCCCGGCTGACCCTGCCCACGGGGACGCTGTCCTCGCGCCTCCTGTCTGGGTTCCACCGGGAGGATGGAGCTTGCATCGGGGTCCCCGCCTCAGCTCCCCTCTCGCCGGGGGCCGGTGTCCCTGCTCCCTTAACCTGGGCCTGCGTGTCTGACGGGCGGGGCTCGACGCGGAGAACCAGGAGCCGCCGGGGCCGGCCCCGCAGTCGCTCTGGAAGGGGGGGGGCTCTCAGGTGCTTGGGGCTCGGGGTCGTGCTGTGAGCGTGTGGAGAAATCTGGGGCTCCGAGGCCGCTCTGGAAAAGCTGCTGAAGCCACTCAGCGGGCGGGTGTGGCCGTGGAGCCCTGGGAGGGCCCGCTGGGCAGTGGGGGTTAGTGCCGCCGCCGCCAGCCCCCCGTGGGGCGGGTGTGGCGGGGGCACGGGGCCCTCTGGGGGGCGGGTGTGGCGGGGGCACGGGGGGGGCCCTCTGGGGGGCGGGTGTGGCCGGGGGCACCGGGCCCTCTGTGCGCGGGTGTGGCCGGGGGCACCGGGCCCTCTGTGCGCGGGTGTGGCCGGGGGCACCGGGCCCTCTGGGGGGCGGGTGTGGCCGGGGGCACCGGGCCCTCTGGGGGGCGGGTGTGGCCGGGGGCACCGGGCCCTCTGGGGGGCGGGTGTGGCCGGGGGCACCGGGCCCTCTGTGGGGGGTGTGGCCGGGGGCACGGGGGGCCCTCTGTGCGTGGGTGTGGCCGGGGGCACCGGGCCCTCTGTGGGGGCTGTGGCCGGGGGCACCTGGCCCTCTGGGGGGCGGGTGTGGCCGGGGGCACCTGGCCCTCTGGGGGGCGGGTGTGGCCGGGGGCACCGGGGCTGCCGCCAGGACCAAGGGCAGCTCCTTGGCCGCGGGCACGGAGGTCTGGGAGCAGCTGAGCTGCGGCTGAGGAGCTGGGGGAACAGCCGCGGGTCTGGTCTCCGTGCGCCCGGCTACGCGCTACTTCCCTTCCAAACGCTCTGGCGCTCCCACAGCGGCACTCCCGGGGAACCTGCCGGACCGGTGCCGCCAGGCGGTGCGGGTAAAGGGGTCACTGCGGTAGGAAGGCCACGGGAGCTGAAAGCCGGGCCTCCGGCTGCCGCCTCCGTGCCCGCGCCCGCGCCCGCTCTGCCGCGTCTGGGTGACCCTGGGGAGGCATCGCTGTGGACGGGGTGTGTGTGTGTGTGTGTGTGTGTGTGTGTGTGTGTGTCCCTGGGAGCCGTGTGTGTGTGTGTGTGTGTCCCTGGGAGCCGTGTGTGTGTGTGTGTGTGTGTGTGTGTGTGTCCCTGGGAGCCGTGTGTGTGTGTGTGTGTGTGTGTGTCCCTGGGAGCCGTGTGTGTGTGTGTGTGTGTGTGGGGGGGGGGACCCGGAGGGCTGCTGCTGGGCCGTCTGTATCTGCCTGCACCGTCTGCTGCTCACACCGACCTCCACGCCTCACGCTCCCGGAGGAGGAGGAGGAGGAGGAGCAGTGTGGAGCCTTCGTCGTGCTTTCCCACCTGAGGGTGGTCTCCCCGGAGACCCCCTCCTGCCCCAGCCCGCGGGCCAGGGCCTTAGTTGAGAGGATGGGGGGCCCTCACCTGGAAGAAGGGGGGCCTCAGCTAGAGGATGGGGGGCCCTCAGCTAGAGGATGGGGGGCCCTCACCTGGAAGAAGGGGGGCCTCAGCTGGGAGGATTGGGGGGCCCTCAGCTAGAGGATGGGGGGCCCTCAGCTAGAGGATGGGGGGCTCTCAGCTGGAGGGTGGGGCTGGGGGCGGGCTGCTCTCTGTGGAGTCTTGATCTGACAGCCACGCTGCCTGCGGTGACCTGTGGTGTCAGATGCTGTCAGATGGGGTGTGGCTGCCTGGGCCCCAGGCCAAGGAGCTGTGCTGGGCCCTGAGCCAGAACCTGCCCGCTCACCCCCCACTGCAACCCTCCCCCACCCACCCCGCTCCCGGGAGGGCTCCTCCCCCGCACAGCACACCGCGTCTGCAGGGCCGAGGCTGCAGCCGCCACAGCCACGGCCACGGCCACGGCCACGGCCACGGGTCCGCTCCAGCCCCGCACAGGGCTCCTGCGCTGGCGCGCGAGCGTCCCCACCCCTTGCCCGCTTCCCTCTTCCCGGGCCTCACCTGTGGCGCCTCTTCTCCCCGGAGGGTTCCCCCTCTCCCGGAGGGCTCTCGTCAATCCGGTTCCCAGGATGGATCTAATCACTCCCCGCCTTTTGCTTTATAAACTGAGGGTTAAAGAAAACAAAGACACGACTGAGGAGTTTTCTTCTTAACTTCTGAGCCATGTGAACACTCCCAGTGGCCCTGACCATCCGTCCGTCCGTCCGTCTGTCCGCCCGTGTTCCTGGGCCTGCCGCCGGGGCGTTGGTCTGGGGAGTCCCCACCTCCGGCCGCACACTGGCCGGTGGGAGCCGGGTCCATGCCCCTGCAGAGGCGGCGTGGGCGTGGGTCTGAGTCAGTGACACAGACTCATCGGGCAGCGTCCGCCTCACCGGGGTCAGGGGTCATCTCCACAGGGTGCGAGCTGGTGGCCTGGCTGTGAGCTCCCTGTGGGCTGTGTGCACCAGCAGCCACGGGGGCAGCCCTGTCTTCAAACGGCCCCGCCAGTGCCCCCGGTCCCAGCAGGCTCAGGGGCACCCCTTCTTCCCTGTGACTCACAGCACAGTCACAGCTCAGAGGTGGGGCCCTGTTTTTCTTCTTTAAAAAACATATATTTTTACTGATTTCAGAGGAAGGGAGAGGGAGAGAGAGAGAAATATCCATGATGAGAGAGAATCAAGGATGGCTACCTCCTGCATGCCCTCCACTGGGGATCGAACCTGCAGCCAGGCCTGTGCCCCGACCGGGAATCTGCCGTGACCTCCTGGTCCCTAGGTGGATGCTCAGCCACAGCCATGGCGGCCGGGCTGGTGTCGGTTTTAAGGAGCCCAGGACCGTGGCTCCTTCCCAGCGTGGCGTACAGGCACGAAATGTCCAGGACACAGAGGCCACCTCTGGCCACACACTCGCCTGAGAGCCTTTCCCAGCGGGACCGTGCTGCCGGCTGAGTGAGTCCTGCCCCGGGCTCTCATTGGATGCCAATGACTTGGGGGGCGGGGGTGGGGGGGGGAGGGAGCGGCAGGCAGCAGCGGGGAGTCGTGGGAAGGGTGCGTATTTTGGGGTAATCATGGTGTGCTGAGAAGTCACGCTCCTCCCTGCACGTGAGTCACGCGGCACCGTTAAATAGCACGTTTCCGAGACAAGAAAGGATGGGGGCGCCTCATTGTCCTTTCCTCCGCGGACGCACGGTCACTTCCTGCCTCCGCGGGCCGCTCTCCCGTCCCTTGCTGAGCGCCTGGCACCGGGGCCCAGAGGCCTGGCTGGAGGCCGGCAGTGGCGGCAGCCCCCAGGGACCTCCCCTCCCCTCCCCTACCCCCAGGGACCCCGCATCTCCCCCCCAGGGCTGTAAGGAAAGGACCATGAGCCTGGCCAGTTGGCTCAGGGGCTGAGCATCGACCTATGAAGCTGGAGGTCCTGGTTCGATTCCCAGTCGGCACAGGCTCGGGTTGTGGGCTCGATCCCCAGTGTGGGGCGTGCAGGAGGCAGCCGATCAGTGATTCCCTCTCATCACTGATGTTTCTAGTTTCTATCTCTCTCTGCCCTCCTCTCTGAGATCAATAGCAAATCTATATTTTAAAAAAGAACCATTAAACCTGCTTGTGGGTGCCACCCCGCCGTGCACCCTCTGGGCTCAGGACCGGTCGCGCCGGGCACTGCCCCTGCCTTCCCCCGGTGGGCGTCGGGCCGTGAGGACGCGTCCACGGGAGCCTGCTTCACGGCCCCGCGGCGTGTCCTCACTGTCAGCTGCCAGCGCAGCTCCGCGCCAGAACCTCCCTCCTCCCTCCATCAGTGCATCGGACCTCGTCCATCGGGACGGTCTCCTTCACCCGGTCCCTGAGTCCGGGGCGGGGACCTTCCGGCCCAGGGCCTGCGGTGTCTGTAACGGCGTCCGCGGGCCACACGACACTGTCCGCTTTCACACGCGCCTGCTCTGCGGTCCGAGATCAGCGACCTCCCCCCGAGGCCTGGGCAGAGCCAGGCCACGTGCTTTCTAGGCCCGGCGCGGCCCGGGGCCGGACGCCCCCCTCGCTGACCCACAGGAAGAGGCGAAGTGACACAGTCCTCTGTCCGCAGGGCTGCTCGTCGCCGTTCCTGTGAACATGTGTGTGCTTGTGTGCTTATCTGATTGGGCACAACCCTCGTTCCTGTGCTGGGGCAGCGCTGTGGGTAGGGGTGGGTTTCAGCCTGTGACGAGTGCCGCCGCCCGGCCGCTGACCGCCTCTCCCGCCCTGTCCCTCCAGGTGTTGGCGGGACCGGTAGACGCCGATGAGACCGCCATGGCCGTGCCAGGGGCCCGGTGCTGAGGACGCCCCTGCCCGGCCGCCCTTCCTCCCGACGCCACGGCCGGCGCCAGGACCTACATGCCACAGGGCTCTCGGGGCACCCGGGGCCGGGAGCCGCTGCCGTCTGGGCAGGTGAGCCGGGCACTGTGGGCCGGGCATCGGTGGGTCCCGGGAGGGCGTGGGCAGACGGGGTCAGACACGCGGAAACGTACTGGGAGCCGCGGAGCGGGATGGGGCTCGTGGGAAAGGAACTGAGTCACTTCTTTGGGCTACGGTTACGCCCGTTTCAGCCATGGAGACGCGTGAGCGTTAAAGCTCGGAGGCAGGAACCAGAGCAGGTCGGGACGCGGTTTCCCGGGCCTCGCCCTCGGATCCTTCAGGCTTACCCCGGCTTCACCGTCTTCAGTGGGATCACGTTCGAGAAGGCACAGTGGCTTGGAAATCCCACTTCAAAGCCGCGCTGTGGATCTGGGTGATCTTTAAAAAGCAGCGTCAGTGCAGTCAAAGCCACGACCTTTCTGAGCCAAAGAGCATCTCCTTTTGCGGCAAAACTCTCCCCTCGGCCCCTTGGCGGGCACTTGCCCTCCATGGGCGTGAGGAGGGAGCAGGGCTCCTCAATGTTAGCACCTCACACACACACACACACACACACACACACACCGCCTTTCCCGGCCCGGGCTCAGCCTCCAGCGGGAAAACAGGCTCCAAAACAAGGCCTCCCACTGGAGCTAATTTTACGCCGGCAATCTGTTGTCTTGTGATGTTCGCTTCGGATTTAGCTCCGAAATAAACACATCGCCTTCCCTCTCCCGCATCGTTGAGGTCTGTTCGCAAGTCAGAGGAGGGTGATCATTAGGTTTATTTTAATAAGTTTTTAAATACCTCAGGGTGTGAAGTGTTTTATTATTAATAATTGTCGTTTGCATGCATTGTCCGGGCCCCGTGCTGGCGTTCACACTGCCCTGAGCCGCCACGGGGCGGCTGGCTCCACCGTCCGCCTCGGACGGGGAGAGGACATGAAGGGGTCATCCTGGGCCCTCAGGTGGGCTTGAATGTTTTATGAAATGTTTATATTTTCTAGATATGTTTTATTGGTTTTTAGAGCGAGAGGAAGGGAGAGGGAGAGGTAGAAATATCTGTGAGATTGATTGGCTGCCGCCTGCACCCCGCCCCCTCCTGGCCTGTGCCCTGACCGGGAATTGAACCGTGACCTCCTGGTTCCTGGGTTAATGCTCAACCACTGAGCCCCGCCGGCTGGGCCCGAGCACGTTATATTTTTGCGTTGCCCTTCTCGTAAGTCCACCTGAGTGACGAGTGTCCCCCTGACACAGCTGTGCCAAACCGAGTTCACTCAGACGGCGTCACAGTGCTGCCGGGCGTGGCTCCTGCTGGGGGAGGTGATAGAGATAGGAAGCGGGAGGAAGACCAGTGCGCAGTGCGCCCGTGAGAGGCCACGTCCAGCCTCAGCTCGGCCCGTTCACCTCTCGCCTCCCTCTGTGGACGCGGTGCCATCCTTTCCTTGTGCCCTGGAGGCTCCGGCCAGTGTGGGGCCGGGGCTCGGACAGTGCCCGCGGCGGGGGCGAGGGTCTCGTGCTGGCGCCCGGGGCGGCCTGGGAAGGCTCCTGGGCGAGGAGCTCAGGTGCTGGCCGGGCCGGAGGTGCCTCCTGGTGGAGCAGGGAGACCAGGCCAGGGGGCAGGGCGGCCCCGGGGGGCGAGAGGCGCGGGGAATGGTGGGGAGGGACCGGAATGAGGGGGCGGCCCGCCAGGCCCTCGGTACCCGGTGGACGTTCAGGTTGGATTTGCTCCCAGAAGGAAGGCCCTGGGCTCTGGCTCTGCTTAGAGCAGCTTTCTGGTCTGTCACCCCACGTCCGCCCCCCGCCAACCTTTCCCCGGGCTGATGTACTGGGAAGAGGCTGCGGGACTTCCAGCTGCGTTTTCTCTTCGGAATGACTTCCGCGTGCAGGGGGTCCTGAACGGAGCCGGTGGCCTGCTGGGAGGGGGCTGTCAGGTGCACCTCTGGGTCCTGCCGTGGCCATTCCACACAGAACAGCCCCCGCCCCCCCGGGGAGGGTCCCCAGTCTGAGCAGGAGCCGCACAGGCCACAGGAGGGAGACGGGTGCCAGCTGGTGAGAGCCACGCGCAGGCAGACGGGCAGCTGACGGTCGCTGTTATGCTGTTGCCCACCCGCCGGGCGTCTCAGTAGCCGGTGGGCTCACCTACCACCGGGCAGGATCCGGTGCACACCGGGCGGCACCCGGCCTGGCAAGCTGAGCCCTCCCCACGCGCCCGGCCCTCTGCGCCCTTGCCCTGCCCACGGGTGACTGCCCACGGGTGACTCTGTGCCTTCTCCTCCCCCTGCAGGCCGTGACGCCATGGGCAACGCCGAGAGCCAGAGCGTGGAGCACGCCTTCTACGGGGAGAAGCGCGCCAGCCTGGGCCGCAAGCACACGTCGCGCTCGCTGCGCCTGTCGCACAAGGCCCGGCGCTCCCGCCACAGCCACGCGGCCACGGGGAAGGCGCCGCCCCGGCGCGCGGAGGCCAGCGCGCGGTCCAGCAGCACGCCCAGCCTGCCGCAGGCGCTGGCCGAGAACGGCCTGGAGCCCTTCGCCGCCCAGGGCGCCCTCGAGGGCTTCGGGGACCCCCTGTGGGCGGACCGCGTGGAGATGGGCCTGAGGCCCGTGTCCTACACCGGCTCCTCCGTGGCCCCCAGCGTGGACAGCAGCGTGGCGCTCGCCACCACCTCGGTGCAGAGCATGCTGGGCTCGGAGGGGGGCGCGCCCCGCCCAGCGGAGGGCGGCCGGCGCCCAAGGCCCTGCGCCTGCCCCGCGCCCGGCTCCGCGGAGGCGGCCGGCTTCCAGAAGAAGCGCTCCAAGTCCGCGGACCTCTGGCGGGAGGACAGCCTCGAGCTCTCGCTGTCCGACCTGAGCCAGGAGCCGCTGAGCAGCCGCGAGGACATCCTGGGCGCCGCGGGGGAGCGGGACGGCGAGGAGGCGCGGGCGGGGCCCCGGCCGCTGGGCGCCTGCCCGCGCGCCACCTCCCTGGGCGACCTGGGCACCCCGAGCGGCGGGCGCTGCGCGGGCCACTGCCGGGACCTGGCGCCGGACACGCCCCGCCGCCCGCACCGCGCGGAGGAGGCGGCCTACAGCGCCTACAACACGCTGCCCTGCCGGCGCTCCCACTGCCTGTCCGAGGGCGCCACCGGCCCGCCGCTCAGCCTGGGCAGCCTGCAGGGCCGCAGGGCCCGGACCGCGCAGGTGAGGGGCGCAGGGCAGGGGCGCAGGGGAGGGGCGCGCAGGGGAGGGGCGGGGCGTGCAGGGGAGGGTCGCAGGGGAGGAGGGACCGAGGGGAGGGGCGTGCAGGGCAGGGGCGCAGGGGAAGGGCGCGCAGGGGAGGGGAGGGGCGCGCAGGGGAGGGGCGCAGGGGAAGAGGGCGGAGGGACAGGGTGGCCAGGGCTTTGGAGGAGGCTCAGGACTCTGCGGGAGTCACCGGGGTGTGTCTGGTGGTTTTGCAGGGCATTTGCCTCCCTGCTCTGCGCTCTGCACTCGGGCGGGGGTGGGGCGGGGTGGGGGTGGGGCTGGCCAAAGCGAGGTCAGCGGGTGCCCTCTGACCTGGGTCCAGGCCGAGCCAAATGGGTGTTTGGAGGTGAAGTTCCCTCTGAAAGGAGGTCTCAGCCTAATGGGGAGGTGGAGGGGGTGGGGGAGGAGAAGGGGGTGGAGGACGGACATCGGCATAGACTGCGAGGTCCTGCCCAACAGCAGAGCTTTTTCTGTTTATTTTTCAAAATCTCAGGAGTCTTGCTTTACTCTGGAATTTTAAATTCTCAGATACAAGGCATTTGGGGATGCAGATTCCCTGCTCCCTCCCAGCCCCGCCCCCTCCCAGCCCCGCCCCCTCCCTGCCTCCGCTGCTGCCAAGTTCACTGGAACCCGGAACCGCATCAGCACCCCCGGGCGCCGGCTCTCCTGGGCACTGGGGCGCTGGGAGGAGGGAGGAGGCTGAGGAGGTGCCCTGGGTTAGGGCGGCCCGGTCATCTGTCAGCCTCTTGGAAGCTGGCAGCTCCCGCCTGACCAGGAGCCATTTCAATTTCCTGCCTGGCGGATGCCAGCCCTGCGGGAGGGACGGAGGGGACGGCCCGGAGGTGCCCGTCCAGCGCCACCAGCTCGGTGGGACTGCGGGACCCTGCCCCGGGGGGCGGGCGATGCTGTTTGCCGGGCTGAGGGCCAGGCGGAGAGGAGGAGGGTGTGGACACTGTGGAAGGCCCACATCCTGCTGGGGAGGGACCTGCTGTGAGGACCAGAGGATGCTCGCCTGGTCCCCCGCAGAGCTCAGAGCCCCGAGCCCCGGCCTGTGTGGAGGGCAGGCTGCAGGTTTGCTGGTGCAGCTTCCGGTCAGAAATCACACCCCCGTCTGCCCCGGAGGGAGGGCCAGGCCCCAGGGTGACCGCAGCGAGGTCAGCGAGTGCCCTCTGACCTGGGTCCAGGCCGGGTCAGACGGCATTTGGAGGCGACGTCTCCTCTGAAAGGAGGTGTCAGCCTCATGGGGGGGGTGGAGAGGGGGGGGTCCTGCTGTGTGACAGGTGAGCCGGTGAGCTGGGGACGATGGGGGGGACACCCCCCGAGAGGCCCTGAGGCTCTGTGCCTAGGCCGTGGCCAGGTGGGCGCCGCGGGACTGGGTCCGAGGGGGGCTTCGGGGAGGGCACGCTGCAGCCTGGGCATGGAGCGTCCCTCTACCTGGCAGTGCCAGTCGGCACGTTCCCTGGGGTGGCTGTCGGACGACATGCCCATTCTCTGGTGTGGCACTCTCTGAAACCGAATAGAGGGAGGGAGGAGGTAGGAGGAGGGAGGAGGAGGAGGGAGGGAGACGGGCACCTGACTGGTCCCAGGTCGCCCTGAGCTGCTCCAGGGAATGCCAAGTGCAGGCGCGGAGTCCTGAGGCTGCTGGCAGCTACCCCTCTCTCCTCCCCTGTAGCCTCGGGCGGTGGCCCCGTCTCAGGTGCCCTCCTGAGAGGTGGCCCGACAGCGCCATGGGGCCAGGAGGGAGGCGAGCGGGGCCTCACCGGAGCCTGGGAACCGAGCGGGAGTGTGTTCCGTGCCGACTGCGTGCGATGAGCAAGGATCTTGAATGACTTGAAACAGACCGAGGCGCCTGCCCCCACGGTCCCTCCCCGCCCCCGGCCGAGCTGTGGTTCTCCCAGCGCCGGCCCCTGGGAGCCAGGAGTTCGCTTCCCCGGGAAGAATTCCTCCTTTGTCCTTCCTGTCGGTAAAGTTCCCGACCCCAGGACCTCCTCGGCGCCTGAGTCACAGATACAAGGTCCCGCTGCCCCGGTGACGCCAGCAGCCGCTCCCAGGACCGCGACCCCGCAGACAGCCGGCCCGGAGCGTGGCCTCTGCCTGGGAGACTAGTTTTTATCCAACAACCGCCTTTACTGGGCCGGCTCCCTGGTCCTGTTACTGAGCAGAGGGCACTGGCGTTCGCATTGAGGCTGTCCCAAGTGACACGTGGTGTCTGCCCCACAGTAAGTGCTGAGGGTTTAGTTCCGCGTGTTTGAGTGCGTGTGTGTGTGTGTGTGTGTGTGTGTGTACGTGTGTGCACGTGCGTGTGTGTGCGTGCTGGTGCGTGCAGCAGTCTCCTGAGTCGGCGGTGTGGTCTGCAGGGAGTGACCGCTTAGCCTGGGACTGGAGGTGGACACGGGGCAGTGGCCCCGGGCGCCCCGGCGCCTGGCTGGTCTCCGGCCGCTCGGCCCTCGGTTCCCAGGGAGGTGAGAGAACTCCGAGTCCCTCCCGTGGTGAAGCGCTGAGAAGGGGGGTGATGGTGGTGGCAGCAGGAAGGAGACAGGCCCAGGGCTCAGAGATGTTCACGGGGCAAGGCCATGCCGGCGGGGCTGGTGGAAGGAGCCCCAGAGGTGGCACTTACAGACTTCGGAGGTCAAAGTACAAAGGGCCCAGGCAGCTGGGCAGAGAGAGACCAAAGCCTTGTGTGTGGGCGGCCGACGGGAATGGCCTTGTGGGTCCCGGTGCCCAGTGCTCTCTGCTTGGCACGGGCACATGGCTGTGTCCCGAGTCTGCGGAGCTGGCCGTGACGATGAAACAACCGGAGACTGTGTAGCTCCCCGCTGGCCTGTTTCTCTCCACGGCCCGGGAGCCGGCGTGTCCTCAGGTCCTGCGGCCGCGGGAGCAGGCGGGCGGCGCCTTCGTGGGCTTCGCTCCAGGGGGGTCGACCGCAGTGATTATGGGACGTCTGAGCCGGCGTGTGCTCGCGCGGTGCGGGAACCTTCTGGTTAACTCAGTTCCACAGCATCTCACAGCGTCTTAAAGCAGATGCCGTCTTCTGTCCATCGTGCAGAGGGGGAAACAGGCACAGGCTGGGGGGCACTGGCCACGCCAAGGAGAGAACCAAGGGCCGTGTGCACGTGTGTGCATGTGTGTTCACGTGTGCGTACATCTGGGAAGGGCTACTTACATTTTGGGGTGAGAAGATGAGAGTCCAGAGGAAGCACCTTTAGATTTTACCTGCCCCGCCCCCCAGCCTCCCCGCCCCCCTTCAACCCCAGGGCTCGCTCCTCCGCTGTGTTGAGCTTCTCCGGCGGGCTGCAGTGTGAAGCTGGGTTCGACAGGCAGATTAGACGGAGCGGCCACAGGAGTGCCTGGACTGTGACCACGGCGGCCAGCTGGCCCCTGGGCTCCGGAGCTGGCCCAGGGCCCCCGGACATGGAGGCCAATCACCCTTCAGAATTGTGTCCCTGTTGTTCACATAGAAACCTGGCCCCCGTGCAGTGGCCCTCGGACACCACAGGGTGTTGGGGGCAGCCCCGGCTCAGGCGGAACCCGTGTATGACTCCGACCCCCAGAGTGCAGCTGCTGAATGGGTGCCTCACCAGCGACAAGAATGGTCCCCCCACACCCGCTGTGCGTGTCTCATGTATTACAAATGGTGAAGGCGGGACAGGCCCTCACCAGCCGTGAGCCCGGCTTCTGGCTGAGTGGCGCTCCCCCTGTGGGGACACACTGACCATCGCAGGCAGCTCCTGTGTTGAGCGTCTGCCCCCTGGTGGTCAGTGCACGTCATAGCGACCGGTAGTTCTGGTTGTTCCGCTGTGATGGTCGCGTAGGCTTCTATTGGATTTTCACAGTAAAGTGAACGAGAGAAAAGAATGTTAATAAGAAAGTAGGGCCCTGGCCTGTTCGGCTCCGTGGTTAGAGCGTTGGCCTCCAGACCAGAGGTCATGGATTCGATGCCGGTCAAGGGCATGGACCTCGGTTGCAGGTTTGATCGCTGGCCCCACTTGGAGGCATGTGTGGGAGGCCACCAATTGGTGCTTCTCTCTCCCCTACTCCTCCCTCTCTCCACTCTGTCTGAAAGTTAGTGGGGCAAAAACATATCCTCAGCGAGGATAAAAAAGGTCGTGAGGAAGGGAAAACCCATTTCTGCATGGAAGGGAGCCTCTAGTTCCCCCTGCGCTGTTCAGGGGCGTCTTTGTCTGTCCCCCGAAGCGGCGAGGGCGTGCCGCGCCACAGCCCGCGTGCTGGGCTCCGAGGCCGGAGCGGGTCAGAGGGCCTCCCCGTCCCCTCGGCCCGGAGCGCCGCGCAGCCACCGCGGAGGGACCCGCGTGCCCGCACTGCCGGTCCCGGCTGCCACGGAACGTGCCGGTCGACGGAGACCGGGGAGCGGCTGCGGGCCTCGGGGAGGCGGTGCGGGAGCGGGACCCAGGGCCTCTGCGCCTGGGATGCTGCTGCCCCGGGAGCCTCGCCATGTTTCTGAGCACGTGCGGGTGACCGCCTTTGCAGGGACTCGGCCGGATCACGCTCCCCGTGGGGGGTTCTGTTCTTCGGCCGTCTCTCCATCTCCTCCATCTCCTCCATCTCCTCCATCTCCGACTCTGGGTGAAACCTTGGGGTCTGAGTCAAAACTCTGGGATGACAGAGGCTGCGACGTCTGACGGGACAGAGGGAACGGGCCTCGTGCTTCTAGGGGCCGGCCGAGACTCCCACCTCCCCCGGGTGGGGTCTGCAGTCCTGCCTGGGAGGCCGGAGGGGTTGGGGGTTCTGAGTGGGGAGGCAGCTTGGGGCAGGAGGGCCGGGACCCAGGGGGTGGAGCGGCCCTGGGAAGATGGCGCCAGGGAGGCGGCCGGATGCTGCCTGTGGGCTGAGGTGTCAGAGAGCCGGGGGCAGGGGGTGTGGATGTGCCTGTGGGCTGAGCCGTGGTGCCTGGGGCGGGGGTGTGCCCTGGCCTCTGAGCGCATGGGCGTCCGGACACAGCCTCCTCGGCTCTCTCCACATCAGAGCAGCGTGGGGACCTGCCTCTGTGGAGGACCCCGTCTTTCTCAGGGTGCTGAGCCATCGGGGGGTGGCCCTGTGGTGGTTCTCCCACCCTGAGGCTGAGACGGTGGGACATGTACTGGGCGCTGGCCGGCTCCCGGTCCGAGCAGAGCCTGCCTGGCCGTCACTACTGCCCGCAAGGCCCCGCTGGCCTCTGGGAATTCGTGGCACCCCAGCTTCTGAGCAACAGGGCTGGGCCCAGGCAGCCGGCACTTCCTTCCCAACAGGCCGGGTGACATATCAGTGGGCAGAGGTGTCCCGTGGGCCTGCCCACACGTGGGGGACGGGACGGGTGGAGTCACACGGCCGGGGGAGGGAGTCCCCAGGCGCCAGCTCAGCTCTCGGGGCCACTGGGCCTCTCGCCGAGGGGCTGCCTGTCCGCTCAGCGCACGACCGCCCCGGAGCCACAGGCAGGCCGGGCCACTGAGGTCACTGAGGTCACACCGGGGGCACGGTCAGATGTCCGGGTCTGACCAGGAGGTGAGTGTGTCCAGGCCTTTACCCTCAGGTCCCAGGGGGACGGCCGTGGGGACACACCCCTAAGCCGTGCCCTTGGCGGGCGCCTGTCTGGTCTTCGTCTGTTTCCCTCCCCTCCTTCCATCCCCTCCCCCCCCCACACGTCCGGTTTAAGGGAACAGTCGCTCAGCCTTGGTGGGGACCCCTGGGGGGGCTGTGGCAGGGGGAGACGGGAGGTTGACTGTTCAGTCAGGAGGGCCGCCTTCGGAGGCGGAGGAGGTGGGGAGGCAGAGGCCTGAGGTCCACACTCTGGCCGCCACCAGCCAGGCGACCGCCACCAGCCAGGGTGCGGTTTCTTGCCCGCTGACCGGGGGGCGGCTTCCCAGCTGCCGTCCCGCCCGGAGTGCCGGGAACCCCGTGGGGCTGGCCCCTCTCCTCTGTCTGGGCTGCTCCTGGGCACCGCCTTCCTCGCCGTCCGAGCCCGAGAAGCGCCTGACGCCTGCGTTTCAGGGTTCCCGAGAGCAGAGCGGCTTGAGAACGTGCCCAGACTTGGGGACCCTCAGTCCCATTCCCGCTCGTCACGGTCACCCCGAGAGCCAGTGATGGTCCCACTTACTGTCCCGCATGGCTCCTGTCCCCACTCACTGGGTGCTCCTGGCCTCCGAGGCGGTCCTACGGGACACGGGGAGGTGGGCGGCAGCTCCCACGCTGTCCTGACCCCTCGGCTGAGCAAGTCCACTGGGAATGTGGTTGTCCTTGGTCGCTTTTTTTCTTTTAAAAAAAAGTTTTTTTTTATTGATTTTTTTACAGAGAGGAAGAGTGAAGGATAGAGAGCTAGAAACATCGATGAGAGAGAATCATCGATCAGCTGCCTCTTGCACACTCCCTACTGGGGATGTGCCCGCAACCAAGGTACATGCCCTTGACCGGAATTGAACCTGGGAGCCTTCAGTCCGCAGGCCGACGCTCTATCCATTGAGCCACACTGGCCAGGGCCTTGGTTGCTTTCTTATCCACTTCCTGTTACTGTCTCCACCGCGCATACTGGTGTTCTTTCCGTGTAACAGGTGTAGGTGGTAGAGGGCTCCGGCCCGCCCAGTTAACCGGAGCCCGGCTGAGGCCGAGGGGCCAGGTTTTCCCCTGCAGTAGCTCTCCCCCCTCTGCAGACTGTGGTGCCCTGAGGACGTCCAGTGTGATGTTTAATACGTGTAAATTGTGAAGTGAGGATTGCAATCAAGTTAGTTAACATACCATCACCCCACACAAGTACCAAGTTTAAAAATGTATGTTATTGATCTCAGAGAGCGAGAGAGAGAAACATCAGTGATGAGAGAGAACCATTGACCGGCTGCCTCCTGCATGTCCCCCACTGGGGATGGAGCCCGTAACCCGGGCCTGTGCCCTGACCGGGAACTGAACCCTGACCTCCTGGCTCATAGGTGGACGCTCAACCATGGAGCCAGGCCAGCCAGGCTGGACCGTATTTCTGGATCTGCTCTCTTAGATTTTAAGTAAAGTGCAGGGTATTAACTGCAGTCACCGTGCTGTCCATCAGACCCCCATCTGGGAGCTGGAACTTGGACCTTGTGACTGGCTCCTCCCCACACACCCCGTCCCCCTCTCCCCGCACCCCTTCCACCCCCTGGCTCTGGGCGTCACCCTGCGTCCTGTGAGAGAGCGTGGGGCACACGTGTTCCACATCCCGGCCCCGTTTGGTGGGTGGCGGTGCCATCTCCTGGCTGCTCCCCTCGCGCCTGTTCGCGCTGAGGGTGCAGCCGAGGTGCCTGCGGAGGGCTGACGGGGTGGCAGGGTGCCGGCACCGCCCGGCTGGGCCTCTTGAGGGACAGGATCGGCGTGTGTCTTGGTTCGGTCCGCCCCGTGGCCTCTCATTTGGGCCCAGAGCACTTGTGTTTAAGGCAGCTCAGAACATCTGGTACCTCTTTAACGTTCAAACCAGTTAGCTCTTTATGGGGCCGAAGGCTCCATCCCTGGTTCAGCCCCCAAACCATGCCTTCCTTCGCCCCGTTCTGTGCCATCCGCTCCCACCCCCTGCCTGTCGGCCTGGCCGAGGGCGCGGCCTGGGCCCCGGTGTGGCCACTGTTCACTGATTGCGTGCGGAGCTGCCTGAAGCCGGGAGCGGAGAGCAGCTCAGACGCGAGTCCCAGCCGACCTGCCTGTGCCGGAAGGTTCGGCTCCGGCCGGCACGGCTCTGCCAGTTCCGAATGGGCTGGACCTGGGCATCCATGGCCCGGCGTCCTGGCGGGGCCCCAGCCGGGCTCCCCGGGCAGTGAGGGCCTGCTCGGCCCTAGCGCCCGCCTGCACGGGGAGGGCACCGAGAGCCTGCGGAGCCGGGCACGGCTGTCAGCTCGGTGCCGGGAGAGGCTGGCGGGCGCGGGGACTGGCCCGAGTGGGGCCCCGGGCCCTGTGGGGACCTGGGCCCCGGGGGGTGAGGCCTCGTGTCCTTTTAGCCTCCGTACCAGGAAGGGCCTCCTCCCCGCCCTTCCCTTTAAGAAGCGCTATCAGCTGTTCCCACTTTATCCTGGTAACCGGGACCCTGCGGCCGGCTCCGCAGCGGGAGGGCGAGGTGCTGAGGGGGGCGCTGAGCCGGCTGGTGGGGGCAGCCCCCCTCCTGTCCCTGCTGGCTGGGCGATTGTTCACCACCTGAGTCCGAGGCACAGCTCCCAGGGGCGCCACTCTTGTGCTCCTCCAGCCATGGAGGTGGTCCCGCCAGTCCCGGGCGGCGTGACTATGCGCTCGGGCGCTCGGCCCAGGGTGGGTTTGCAAGGCCCAGAGTGGAGGGTTCAAGGGGTGGGAAGGGTCAGAGGGTGGAGGGTTCAAGGGGTGGGAAGGGTCAGAGGGTGGAGGGGTGGGCAGGGTGGGGGGGTGAGTAGGGTCAGGGGGTGAAGTGGGATTTAAGGGGTGAGAAGGGTCAGGGGTGGAGGGGGTGCAAGGTTGGAGGGCCTGGGGGCGGAGGGGGTCAGAGGGTGGAGTAGGGTTGAAAGGGGTGGAGGGAATCCAGGGGTGGAGGGGGGTCCAAGGGTGGGGGAGGCCTCCACGGGGGCCAGGCTGGGAGGCAGGCGCCCTGTGGTCCCGCGGGCGGGCGGCAGGAGGTGCTGTGGCCCCTCGCCTGATCCTGATGCACTCCTCTCCCGCTCTGGGCCCCCAGGATGTCAACGCGGGCGAGGGCAGTGAGTTCGCCGACAGCGGCATCGAGGGGGCGGCCACCGACCCGGACCTGCTGTCCCGGCGCTCCAACGCCACGCACTCCAGCTACTCGCCGCCGCCCGGCCGCGCCTTCGCGGGCAGCGACAGCGGCAGCAGCAGCGCGGGGGACGCGGCGCGCCAGGGCGTCTACGAGAACTTCCGGCGGGAGCTGGAGCTGGGCGCCAGCCGCGAGAGCCCCGAGGAGGCCGGCTCCGCGCACAGCGACGAGCGCTCCAGCGGCCGCTCGGACGGCGCGCTGCAGGCGGCCGCGCGGGGCACCGTGCGCAAGGCGGGCGCGCTGGCCGTCAAGAACCTGCTGGTGCACAAGAAGAGCCGCAAGGTGGAGCCGGCCGCCCGCCGGCGCTGGAAGCACTACTGGGCGGCCCTCAGAGGTGAGCGGGCCCCCCACCCCTTCATCCCCCCTCCCCCCCCACCCCGCACCCCTTCATCCCCCACCTCCCCCCGCTGCGGGGCCCTGCGCCCAGTGCCCCCTGGTGCTCCCCGGACATCCATCCGCTCTGCGCGTGCCCTCCGCTGCGCCCGCAGAGGATGGTGCAGCCGCCGGCTCACACGTCACTGCATTGTGCTCACTGTGTTTAGTACGGCCTCTAACTTGTGACGCACTTTGTATATTTCTATTTCAGAGAGGGAGGGGAAGAGGGAGAGAGAAACATCCATGATGAGAGAGAATCCTGGATGGGCTGCCTCCTGCATGCCCCTGCTGGTGATCAAGCTGGCAACCCGGACTTGTGCCCTGACCTCCTGGAGGCTCAACCACTGAGCACGCTGGTGGGCACTGATGCACCCCCCCCCCCCCCAAAAAAAAAAAAACCCCACAAAAAACCCTATTTTTATTGATTTCAGAGAGGAAAGGCGGGGGGGGGGGACATATCATGGATCGGCTGCCTCCTGCATGCCCCTGCTGGGGATCAAGCCTACAGCCCAGGCACGTACCCTTGACCGGAATCAAACCCGGGACCCTCCAGTCTGTAGGCCCACACTCGATCCACCGAGCCACACCAGTGAGGGCCTCACAGGCTGGTGACCACGGGCACCTGCTCATCTCTCTTCACTAACTCAGTGTTCCTCCTGCCCCTGCTGCTCGGTGTCTTTATTTTTAGTTGAGCCGGACGCTCTCCATGTGCAGCTGGTCTCATGACCATGTCGGGGATGCGCCTAACAGGTTATTTTTTATCACACTGGTTTGTGAAGTGCCTCCGTGCCTTCTGGAACTGTCATTTTTCAGGTGGAAAGAGAATAGAATGTCGTTAACCTCACAGGGTTCAGCTCCTGCTGAGGCTGCCTAAGCCACCCCATGTTTGCGAAAGCCACCGTGTTAGCGTCACACGGAGCATTACGTGAGCGTGGACAGACCCGTTCACACGTGCTAGTGCGTCTCCCTCTTCTCATTCGTTACCACCGTACATTTATGTCATTGTTTTGCATGTATCAATAGTTTTGAGCGTGTGCACAGCTGTCCGCACGTGCTCAGTAGCATAGACACTGGGCCGCGTCCTGAGCTCAGTTTCCCCCGGCCCCTATCGCAGTGAGTGTGGGTCGGCTGGTCCAGGGCTGGGCCAGGGGGGTTGGCCGGTGCGGAGGACAAGCCAGGAGCAGAGACCTGGGCTCAGCTGTGCGGTGCACACACCAGACCGGGTGACACTGGTTCCTCCCGTGGTGGTTGGTGTGGGACCCGCCGGTCCCAGAGGCTCAGCTGTGCGGGGTCTGGGTGGCCCACGGCTCCTGTGCCAGCCATTGCTTCCAGGCTGGGACACAGGAAGGGAGAGGTTATTAGACAATCGGTCTTGCCTCATGACCCAGTGACCCACAGGGGCCACGTCTTGAACAACACGGAGCTCTGTCCTCCCACCTCCCGGTCAGGCCCCCCGCTGGTGTGGCAATGCCGTGACTCACCGGGCCCAGCCTCCCTCTGCCTGTGGCTCAGCGGTTCCTAGAACAGCGTCTGGTCCAAGTGGTCAAGCTGGCCCAGCGGCAGGTCCGCATTCCAGCGGAAGAAGGGGGACGGCAGGGCGCTGCCTGCAGGCGGCCCTCATCTGCCTCCTTCCATTGGAGTGAGTCAGGCTCGCTGCAGGGTGTGTGTGTGTGTGTGTGTGTGTGTGTGTGTGTGTGTCGCTGGAGCGCACAGCCTCCCACCGAGGCTCCCGGCTGTGTGTCCGGCTGCTGCCGCTGCGGGTGGAGCCGCCTGCCCCGCCATGGCCAGTCCTCCCACTCGCACGGCTCCCCTTCCTGGACCGCCTCCTCACATCCTGGTCTCGGATCAGTCTCCGCCCCAGGGGGTCCATGTTGGCACAGAGAGCAGGGTCCTGGCAGCCACAGCGTTTTCTGTGGGAAACGGCGTGACACGGGGACATGACACTTAGAGGTCTGTGTAACGACAGACCCTGTCCACATGCATGCAGAGTACATGCAGAGCGCATGTGGAGCACATGGGAAGCATTGAGCACGTGTGCACAGGGGATGTTGAACTTGGGGAACGTTCTGTCCGCCTTCCATTCCGAGAGCGGCTGCTGTCCTTGCCGCCGTGTGACCCCGTGCCCTGATTTGGAGGTGCCACAGGGTCACGTCCCAGGGGCCGGGCCATGCCGTCCGCGCTGGCTGAGATGACAGGGAGGACCCCCTCCTCCTCCTCCTCCTCCTCCTCCTCCTCCTCCTCCGGCCCCTCCCCCAGCTGCCCGCACTTGTTCTCGGCGGCCTTGTGCTCTTTCAGACGACTAATCACTGGTTTTATTCTTTTTTACTAAAATAACATTTTTATTGATTTCAGAGAGGGAGGGAGGGAGGGAGAGAGAGAGAGAGAGAGGGAGGGAGGGAGAGGGAGAGAAACATCAATGATGAGAGAGAAGCATGGACCAGCTGCCTCCTGCACACCCCACACTGGGGATTGAGCTACAACCAGGCATGTGCCCTGGTTGGGAATCGAATTCTGACCTCCTGGTTCACAGGTCGATGCTCAGCCCCTGAGCTGCGCCGGCTGGTCATGGTTGGTTTTGTTCATCGGTGCTGAGTTTTTAACAGCTGGTCTGAGGCCCCTGCCCCTGCTCCCGCTGGTCACCTGAGGGCCTTTCGGGCTGTGCCCATCCCTGCTGAAGCTCTGAGTTTGGGCGGGGGGGGTGGGGTCCTGTTAGCGTTGCTGGAACGGAACACCACGCCCTGGGGTGAGGTTCTCGCACTCCTGGGGCTGGAGGTCCGAGGGCCAGGGCAGCCGCTTTTCCCTGAGGCCCCCTGGCCCTGCAGGGTCTCCCGGGGCCGGCCCCGCGCCCGTCTGGGTCCAGATCCCCTCTCTCGGGCAGCTGTTGTGCTGGGTGGGGACCCCACGTGGCCTCACTTCCCCGCAGTTACCTCTTAGAGTCCCTGCTCCTGGTTCAGACCCTCCACCTCGGGGAGGACTCAGCACCGGGCCTCGGGGAGGACTCAGCACCGGGCCTCGGGGATGGTGTTCGGCCCGTGACGGCCCTGGAGCTGGGCTCACGGGAGGGAGCTTCCCACTGACCCTCACCGCCACCGGGAGCAATGCCAGGCGCTGCCTTTTCCTGGGGGCGTGGGGGTGCCGTGTGCCTTGGGGTCCTGGCGGGAATGAGGGATAAGGAAGCCGGGGCGGCGGTCAGGGCACAGCTCACCGGCCCGGGAGGAGGGAGCCTTCCGCTCGGGGTGGCCCCGCTCCCAGTGACCCCGAGCCCTTCCCTGCTTCCTCCCGTTCCCGAGTCCGGCCTCCTGGCGGCCCGCCTTCCACGCGGAGTTAAAACGCAGGGCACCGGGAGGGGGGGGGGCAGAGATTCCCCGAAGGTTCTTCCACTTTAGGCAGAAAGTTAATTAGAACAGAGAGTTCACTTGGAATTGGTCCCGGGGGCCTCTCGGCCGCTGAGCTGTTCACAGGGGACCCCTCAGGAGGCGCAGGCGCTGCCGGCCACCGGCGTGTGCGGCTCACCCCGCGGCCGCACCGCGTCTTTTTACTTTTACTTTGTTTTATTGTTTAAAGTGCCTCGCGTGGTCTTGACATTGGAACAGGCGGTAATGGAGGAAAGGCCCGTTTTAACAGCCTCCTGTCTCGGACGATTGTAAACAGGTGGAAAGGCTGTGAGCACAGCGGTCGGGAGACCAGGGGTTCAGTTGCCCCCAGGGCTGGGGGCCCCGCAGCTTTCCGCTCTGGGCTCAGCCTGAGGCTAAGGCTGTTCCTCACGTCTGCTGTGCCTGCTGCCCGCCCGCGGGGTCACCCCGAAGGGGACGGGGAGCGGGGCTCACAGAGGGGCGCCGTGCGGTTTCCGGACAGTCCTTGGCTGTGGGCCTGTCCCCGCCCCTGCCCACGGGACGCCCGCAGCGCCCCTCCCTCATATGCCCCCTACACACACCGGCACAGCAGGAGGGAAAGACCCGGGACTCCAGCCCTCCCCTCCTCCCCTGCCTCCGGCCCTGAGGCGGCACAGCACACGTGCTCCCCGAGGACCGGGCCCCGGTGTGTTTCTCCTGACGCTCTCGGGGCAGAGTTTCCGGTGGGACCGCAGACTGCCCGTCCTGGTGCAGGGCTGGCCACGTGCGGGCCATGGGGCCGTGGACATGTGGAGCCCTCAGGCCCGGTGCCCCCGGGAGGATGCGTGTGTGACAGACAGTCTAAGGCCAGACGGAGCGGGAAGCCTTCGTGGCTGCAGGAGGGTCCGTGTGGCCAGAGGCTGCGGTCTGGGCCTTGGCCGTGCTCAGGGCCACCCGTGTGGTCAGCACAGGCTCGGTCTTCCCGCCTCCTGGGTCTCCCGCAGCACCCGCCAGCGCCCGCCCGGCACCCACGGCCACCCTTTCCCTCTGCCGCAGGGTGCACGCTCCTCTTCTACGACAGCGACGGCCGCTCGGGCATCGAGCCGGGCAGCGTGCCCAAGCACGCCGTGTGGGTGGAGAACGGCGTGGTGCAGGCCGTGCCCGAGCACCCCAAGAAGGACTTCGTCTTCTGCCTCAGCAACTGCCTGGGCGACGCCTTCCTCTTCCAGGTCAGTCCTTATGCCCGCCCTCCGGGGTGAGGTCGCCCTTGGGTCCGGGGCAGGGTCACCTCTGATTCCCGGTGGAGACCCGTGACCAGCCAGAGCGGCTCCGGAGCTCCGGGGCAGGGGGTGGGCATGGAGGGGGAGGGGGGAGCCGGAGCACCCAGCGGCTGGGTGCGGGGAGGTCTCCCTGTGGTGGGCACAGCTCTTGAGAAGAGGGTCTGAGCCCCGTCATGGAGCCGGGATGTGAGCTGTGGGTGTTCCCTGACACGTCTTCCAAGACCCTCCTCAGCAAAGCAGCGATGTAGCCACCTGCATCCGTCCTCTCCCGTCTCCTCGGACCCTGTGCCTGACGCTCTGGCCGTGTGGCTGGGATTGTATTTAGAAACGCCAGGGCTCGGGGCCGGCGCTGGCTTCTGTGCGCTCACAGGACTTCCTGTTAGGGTGCTTGTCAGGGACCGTCCTCCCCTGACTTCATCATCAGGACCCGCTCAGCCTGCACTCTGCTTCCCGTGTGCTGTGCTCAGGCGGCTGCCGACACCGGGAAGCGCTCACGGTGTTTACATGTCACTCTGCACGGGCACCGGGAGGCTCTGTGCGTGGCAGGGCTGGCAGGGACGGGGGGGGGGGGAGCGTGGGGGTGGACGGGGGACACGGCGTGAGAGTACCCCACGCGGGAGAGAACGGGACGAAGGCCCGGGAGAGGGAGTCACTTCACCAGGTGTTGGGGTTTGGGCCCTAACGCTATTTCTGTTTGGGACATTGAAGTAATAAATATGACAGAGTGGCTTTGTTTGTGGACAGAGAGGAAGCCTGTTACTCTTTCTTTAACATGTGACAAAACACGCCTAAGAAGAGGGCACAGACATGAACGCATGGCTCCACCGAGTCCCGCAGAGTGAGTCTGTGACCCCACACGGGCCAAGAATAGGCGTGTCCGGCCGCGTCTGAGCGCCCTCTGCCCCCCAGGCCATGTGCAGCCCGTAGCGGGGAAGACCGAGTGCCCTTTACCTCGGTGAGGAGGCTGGGTTTATCCTTTCTCCTGTGTCTCGAAGGCTAGTCCTGCTGGGTATGAAACTCGTGATTGGCAGTGTTCCTTCACAGCCCGGACAGCCGCCATCTGGCGCTGTGGGTCCTCGCGAGCCGTCGGCTGTCACTCAGGGATCCCTGCTCCAGACGGGGACTCCCCTCCTTTCGCTCTGGGGAGTTTTGTCGCTTGTCGTCAAACAGTGGGATGATCATCTGCCTGTAACTGCAACGATTGATTTCTTTCCGTTTGTTCCATCTGGAGTCGTGGAGCTCCTTGCATGTGTAGGTGTGTGTGTGTGTGTGTGTGTGTGTGTGTGTGTGTGTTTTAAATCACACGTGTGAAGTTTTCAGCCGTTATTTCTTCAAGTAGCTTATCTGCCGTGTGCTGTGCTCCTCCTCCTGGGGTCCTGTCAGTTAATGTCAGCACAGGCTCTGTTCCCGGTTCCTCGTTCTTTTCCTGTTCTGTCCCGGGACTGGGCCTGGGTCACCCGTTCTTGATTTCTCAGCCGGAATCTGCTGTCCAGCTCCTCAGATGACTGTTTTGCTTTGCTTACTCTACATTCCAGCTCCAGAGTTTATATTTAAAAGCAGTCTTGGTTTAAATTTCTCTATTGAGCCCTCACCGGGGTGGCTCAGTGGACTGAAGGGTCCCGGGTTTGATTCTGGTCAAGGGCACAGGCTCAGATTGCTGGCTCCATCCCCAGTAGTGGGTGTGCGCGAGGCAGCCGATCCATAATTCTATTTCCCTCTCCCTTCCTCTCTGACATCAATAAAAAAATATAAAATTTCTCTGTTGATATTCTCTATTTGGTGAGATATTCTCCAACATCTTTAGACACGATCTTCTTTCGTTCTTTGAAAATCCCCGACGTGGTCAGAGTGGCTAGGTCCCCCGTAAGGACTCTCTCAGGACTGGTTCTCAGGACAGCGGCTTGCCTGGCGTGTGCTGCCCTCTGCTGTTTCTGTCCAGTAACAACAGCGCTGTCCTGCAGGCAGCTCCGTGACGGAGCCCTCGCCATGGCAAACCTCTAGGGCAGCGGTTCTCCACCTTCCTGATGCCGCGACCCTTTAACACAGCTCCTCACGCTGTGGTGACTCCCAGCCATAACATTATTATTATTATTTTTTTAAATATATTTTTATTGATTTTTTACAGAGAGGAGGGATTTTTATTGATTTTTTTTACAGTCATCGATCAGCTGCCTCTTGCACGCCCCCTACTGGGGATGTGCCCACAACCAAGGTACATGCCCTTGACCGGAATCAAACCCGGGACCCTTCAGTACGCAGGCCGACGCTCTATCCACTGAGCCAAACCGGTTTTGGCCCATAACATTATCTTCATTGCTACTCAGTAACTGTGATTTTGCCGCTGTTATGAATCGTGATGTAAGTATCTGTGTTTTCTGATGGTCTTAGGCGACCCTGCTAGCGGTCCTCAACAGTTATGAAGTAGCAGCGGAAATACGTTAAGGTTGGGGGTCACCACAGCGCGAGGCTGCGGCGTCGGGAAGGTGGAGGGCCGCTGCTCCTGGGTGTGCGCGGTGTGAACCGCACTTGGTGTCGCCGCCAGCGCGTTGGGCTGTGTTGGGTTCTAACCTGTTGGTGCAGACGGTGGTGGGCGCTGGCGTTTCTCCTGGGCCGCGCGGCTCACGCCGACGGCAGCGGCTCTTCTCGGCCTCGGGTGAGCCCGCCCTGGGAATGTTTCTGCGTGGACTCTCCGCCGTGGCCGCCCGGTCCCCGCCGGTGAGGGAGCAACGGCCGCTCTCAGGACGTTCTCCTCCTCACCCCTCCTCACCGAGAACACACAGGCGTCCCAGAAGAGGCACGCACTCAGTTTGAGCCTTTATAAAGGCAGTTTGCTGAAGAGCATCGGGTGAAGGGTATACACGTTTGTTGGGGATGCGCTCTCTCTGTGCCTACATTTTAAGTTGATTTTAGAGAGAGAAACACCAACCGGGTGCCTCTGCACGCCCGACCGGGGACTGAACCCGCAGCTGGGGTACGGGCCCTGACCTGGGGTCGAACCCGTGACCTTAGCTGCGCAGGATGCCGCTCGACCAGCTGAGCCACCACGTCCAGGCGGGCAGCCTCTGTGTGCCCACACCCTCCTGTGTGCCCACGCCCTCCTGTGTGCCCACGCCCTCGTGTGCCCACACCCTCCTGTGTGCCCACACCCTCCTGTGTGCCCATGCCCTCCTGTGTGCCCACGCCCTCCTGTGTGCCCACACCCCAGTTACAGTGCCTTTGGGCGCCTCCTGTGTGCCCACACTTTGGTTATGGTGCCAGAATTTGTGTCCGAGAGGATCTGGGGCGCCCCCAGGAAACCACCCTGAGGGGCACGGTCAGCGAGGGGAGCCGTGGGGGGAGCGGACGTGCAGGTGAGCACGCTGGCGGCCTCACGGGACACACCTGTCTCACGGGACATGCCTGCCTCATGGGACACGCCTGCCTCACAGGACACGCCTGCCTCACGGGACATGCCTGCCTCATGGGACACGCCTGCCTCACGGGACATGCCTGCCGTGGGTGCGTGAGGATCCTGGCTGTTAGAAGCGCAGCGCTGACCGCAGCGTGGCCAGGCTAGGTTTCCGTGTGTGAATCCTGTGCCGTTACGTGTCGCCCACATACGTGCGACTCGCAGCACTGGCTGTGTTTCCACAGCCTTTACATTTGCTCTGAGTCACTCTGAGCGCGTAGTTTTAGAGAATGCTGTGAGCTCAGCACGCAGAGTGAGGTTCTCCCTCTCCTTACTGCTCCCCACCCCCTGCCCCAGAGCACACGGCTCGGCTGGTCTAACTGGGTGTTTGGTTTAGTTCCTTTTACCCGCATTTCTCATGAGCACACTTAGCTGTTTCTCACCTGGCTTTGGACACCACCTCCTGACCTTGTTACGATGGACGGGTGCTTAGCTGCAGACATACAGAGGCTCCTCCCTCATCCTTCCCATCGGTTGTGAGAATCTGGATGAACTCTGTTTAGGCCTGGCCATCGGGAAGTGCCCGCTCCGATGGCCTGAGACGGTCTGTGTCCCTGCCCGCCCGCCCCTCCCCCGCAGACCACCAGCCAGACTGAGCTGGAGAACTGGGTCACCGCCATCCACTCGGCCTGCTCGGCCGCGGTCGCCAGGCACCACCACAAGGAGGACACGCTCCGCCTCCTCAAGTCGGAAATCAAGAAGCTGGAGCAGAAGATCGACATGGACGAGAAGATGAAGAAAATGGGCGAGATGCAGCTGTCCTCCGTCACCGACTCCAAGAAGAAGAAGACAATCCTAGATCAGGTGACCGCTCTCCCTCTAGACTCACACTCCCCTGGGTCAGGTGACTGCCCTCCTGGGTCAGGTGACTGCCCTCCTGGGTCAGGAGATCGCTCTCCTGGGTCAGGTGACTGCCCTCCTGGGTCAGGTGACTGCCCTCCTGGGTCAGGAGATCGCTCTCCTGGGTCAGGTGACTGCCCTCCTGGGTCAGGTGACTGCCCTCCTGGGTCAGGAGATCGCTCTCCTGGGTCAGGTGACTGCCCTCCTGGGTCAGGAGATCGCTCTCCTGGGTCAGATGATTGCCCTCCTGGGTCAGGTGACTGCCCTCCTGGGTCAGGTGACTGCCCTCCTGGGTCAGGAGATCGCTCTCCTGGGTCAGATGATTGCCCTCCTGGGTCAGGTGACTGCCCTCCTGGGTCAGGAGATCGCTCTCCTGGGTCAGATGATTGCCCTCCTGGGTCAGGTGACTGCCCTCCTGGGTCAGGTGACTGCCCTCCTGGTTCAGGAGATCGCTCTCCTGGGTCAGGTGACTGCCCTCCTGGGTCAGGTGACTGCCCTCCTGGGTCAGGAGATCGCTCTCCTGGGTCAGATGATTGCCCTCCTGGGTTAGGTGATCACTCTGTGTTTAAACTTGGGTGGGATCCTGAGGTCCTGAGTGGCTCTCGGCTCCCTCCTCTGCCTGCCTGTGGCCACCACCCACCTGCTCAGTTCTTTGCCGTGATGGGCAGTGTCCTCGCTGTCACTCGTGGTCGGTTGTCAGGAGCTGAGGGAGCAGCGTCAGTCGGGAAGAAGGCTGGGATGGGAAGAAGCCAGCCCTGGTGTGTGCTGGGCGTCTGGCCCTGGGAGGTCTGCAGCTGGTCTGCACATTATCGGGTGGCCGGGCTCAGCGTGGGGTCCACTCTGGACGCCTCGATAAACTGAGGATTCTAGGTGTGGGGGGTGTAGAGTGTGTTTTTTCTTTTTCTTTCTTTTTTTAAATGTAATTTTATTGATCTCAGAGAGGTAGGGAGAGGAAGAGAGAGAGAAACATCCGTGATGAGAGAGAATCATTGATCAGCTGCCTCCTGCACGCCCCACACTGGGATGGAACCCACAGCCTGGGCCTGTGCCCTGACTGGAATTGAACCTGTGACCCCCTGGTTCCTGGGTTGACAGTCAACCCGTGAGCAACAGCTCCGGCTCCAGTCTTATGCTTCCATGATCCTATTGAGATGTCCCATCAGCTTTAGGGGCAGGTCTTATTTTGCCCTAAACCACGGGAAGCTTCTGTGGTCTCCGCTCAGGGGGCCTGAGTCCCCAGGATCTGGGTCGGCCCCATCCCAGTCTCTCCTCCCCCCGCCCCCGTCCTCCACCTCCCACCTGTGCCCACATCGCGGGTGTTCGCTCTGCTCCTCAGCTCACCCCTTTCCTCCCCTCGTCTCCTGTGAGAAGCCGGCCCTTCTAAGTCACCCAGTTCCCAGGGCTGAACCCCGAGGCCCCTGTAACGCTGCAAACGTGAGCCCACCCGGGCACAGGCCCCATGACGTGTTTCCGTGTCTTCCTGAATCCACAGCCACGTCTCTGCAGAGACCCCACGGGCTGTGAACGCAGCCCCTGCCCCCAGCTGCTGGCGCCCGAGAGCGCAGGGCCCCTCTGTGCCCCTGGAGGAGGGCACTGGGGCCGGGGTGTGTGTGTGTGTGTGTGTGTGTGTGAGTGAGAGACGACGGTGCAGGTCGGAGCCGTGACCGGCTTCCCGTCCCCCCGTCCTCTATGCGCCTGCAGATCTTCGTGTGGGAGCAGAACCTGGAGCAGTTCCAGATGGACCTGTTCCGCTACCGCTGCTACCTGGCCAGCCTGCAGGGCGGCGAGCTGCCCAACCCCAAGCGCCTGCTCGCCTTCGCCAGCCGCCCCACCAAGGTGGCCATGGGGCGGCTGGGCATCTTCTCCGTGTCGTCCTTCCACGCCCTGGTGAGCACTCGCCCGGCTGTCCCGGGGGAGGGCTGCGCTGAGGGGTGGGTGTGGGACGGGCCAGGGTCCAGCGGGAAGAGGGTGTGGGATGGGGGTTAGGTGTCCAGCCGGGAAGGATAGGTGTGACCGGGGTCAGTGTCCTGCGGGAAGAGGGTGTGGAGGTCGGAGGAAGCTGAGCAGAAGGGACTGAGCCCAGGTCCTGGCCATGTGCTGGCTCCCCGTGGGGCCTCGGAGGCGGGGGGTGTGTGTGTGTGTGTTGTGGGGGGACAGGGTCAGTGTCCTGCGGGAAGAGGGTGTGGAGGTCGGAGAACAGTGAGCAGAAGGGACGGACACGGGATCTAACTGTTCTCGTGGGAGCCCGCGCCGCTCCGTGCCAGCCGCCCGCTGCCCGCCGCCTCCCCGTCGCCCCAGGTGGCGGCCCGCACCGCGGAGACGGGCGTGAGGCGGCGCACGCAGGCCATGGCGCACTCCACCAGCAAGCGCCGCAGCCGCTTCTCCTCGCTCTGGGGCCTGGACTCCACCTCCAAGAAGAAGCAGGGCCACCCCAGCATCAACCAGGTGGGCCTGGGGCCGGCGTGGCCGCGGGGTCCCCCTCCCTCCCGGTCCCCCCCCCCCCCCGCTCCCCCTCCCCTTGGTCCTCCTCCCTCCCGGTCCCCCTCCCGGTCCCCCTTCCTCCCGGTCCCCCCTCCCGGTCTCCATTCCTCCCAGTCCCCCTCCCGGTCCCTCTCCCTCCCGGTCCCCCTCCCTCCCGGTCCCCCTCCCTCCCGGTCCCCCTCCCTCCCGGTCCCCCTCCCTCCCGGTGCCCCTCCTCCCGGTCCCCCTCCCTCCCGGTGCCCCTCCCTCCCGGTGCCCCTCTCCCCGGTCCCCCTCCCTCCCGGTCCCCCTCCCTCCCGGTCCCCCTCCCTCCTGGTCCCCCTCCCGGTCCCCCTCCCTCCCGGTCCCACTCCCGGTCCCCCTTCCTCCCGGTCCCCATCCCTCCCGGTCCCCCTCCCTCCCGGTCCCCCTCCCCCCGGTCCCCCTCCCTCCCGGTCCCCCTCCCTCCCGGTGCCCCTCCCTCCCGGTGCCCCTCTCCCCGGTCCCCCTCCCTCCCGGTCCCCCTCCCCCCGGTCCCCCTCCCTCCCGGTGCCCCTCCCCTCAGTCCCCCCTCCTCCCGGTCCCCATCCCTCCCGGTCCCCATCCCTCCCGGTACCCCTCCCTCCCGGTCCCCCTCCCTCCCGGTCCCCCTCCCTCCCGGTGCCCCTCCCTCCCGGTCCCCCTCCCTCCCGGTCCCCCTCCCAGTTCCCCTCCCTCCCAGTCCCCCTCCCTCCCTGTCCCCCTCCCCCCGGTGCCCCCCCCCCCCGGTGCCCCTCCCCCCGGTCCCCCTCCCTCCCGGTGCCCCCTCCCTCCCGGTCTCTCTTCCTCCCGGTCCCCCTCCCTCCCGGTCTTCCCTCCCGGTCCCCCTCCCGGTCCCCCTCCCTCCCGGTGCCCCTTCCCCCGGTCCCCCTCCCTCCCGGTCCCTCTCCCTCCCGGTCTCCCTCCCTCCCGGTCCCCCTCCCCCCCGGTCCCCCTCCCTCCTGGTGCCCCCTCCCGGTCCCCCTCCCTCCCGGTCCCCCTCCCTCCCGGTCCCTCTCCCTCCCGGTCTTCCCTCCCGGTCCCCCTCCCGGTCCCCCTCCCTCCCGGTCCCCCTCCCCCCGGTGCCCCTCCCCCCCGGTCCCCCTCCTGCCCTCACCGCCATGTGTGCTGCAGGTGTTCAGCGAGGGGCCCGACGCCGCCAAGCAGGCTCTGGAGGAGGCGTTCGACGACGCCGTCCCCGATGGCAAGGTAACGGCGTCCGTCCCCCAGGCCCCGCCGGCGCCCCTTCCTGTGAGAGCGGCACATGCCTTCTTTAAAGGCGGCGCAGGCCCTGGAGCCCGCGTGTCGGGGTCAGCGTGGCCCCGGGAGGCCTCGGGGACGTCGGGGGGAGGCTCTGTCCGGTCTGGGTCGTGCTCTCGTGACCCCGTGTTCTGGGCGTCGGCGAGGAGTGCCCCTCCCCCACGGGGGCTCGTGCGGCCCCACTAGGTGCCAGGACCCTCCTGAGGAAGGTTCTTCTTAGACGCGCGTCCGGCTGGAGCGGGTTCGGGGGCTTTTGGGCCTCTGATTGGAGAGTAACAGCGTTGGCTGGTTTTAGACCCCGAGTGAGGCCGCCGCCGCTCGGTGGGGGTGCTCTGGTGAGGCCGCTGTGGCCTCGCGGGCGCCCGCCTCCCGTTCCCTGGGCTCCTCGCCTTCCAGCCCGTGGCCCTGAGCTCACGGGGCCCTGAGCTCGATCGGCCCTCCTGCGGGGGCTCTGGGCTGAGCCTGACATGGTTGATGGGAGGACCAGTGTCTGAGCTGAGCCAGTGGGTGGGTTAGGTTCCTTCCTCCCCTCCTCCCCTCCTCCCCTCCTCCCCTCGCTCCTTTCTTCCTCCCTCCCTTCCCTCCTCCCTCCTTCCCCTTCCTCCTTCCCTTCCCTCTTCCCTCCTTCCTTCCCTCCCTCTCTCCCTCCCTCCTCCTCCCCTTTTCTTCCCTTTCTCCTGGTTTCTTCTAAGTTTCCAGCCTCCCATTCCTTATGCCCGTCTGGGACAGACCAGGTGTGAGGTCTGGGGACCACCCCCCCAGCAGCGCTCCTTCCCCCCCAGGCACCCCTGCCCGCCCCCCAGCCGCCGCCGCTGGGCCCCTCTGGGGACTCGGAGGCCCTGTGCCCGGGGGCGGAGGTCTCGGCGGCTGACGGCTCCCGTTGCAGGTGGAGAAGGAGATGGCCCTGCCCAGCCCCCACCAGCAGAACCCCGACTGCGACATGTGGGCCCACCAGCACTTCCCGCCGTCCTGGTTCTGCCTGCCCGGCAGCCGGTCCGTGCTGACCGTCGTGCGGCCCGGAGACTGCGCCCGGGACACGCTGGAGGCCGTCTGCAAGGTGGCGATGCAGGCGGGGCTCCCTGGGACCCGGCGCTGGGCGGGCGGGGCTCCCGGTGTGCGGTGCGAGCTGCAGTGATCCCTCCCCTCGCGAGGCCCGGTCCCTTCCCAGCGGCTTCTGTGGGCTGTGTGAGCTGCTGGGTCAGGGTCACGGCAATGCGAACCCCTTTCTCAGACTCGGGGGAAGACGGAGGCCGGCCCTGGAGCTCGGGCAGAGTTTGTCGGGGGCGGTGTCTGACCCTCCTGGCCAGTCAGTCCCCGCGGCTGCTGGCAGGTGTGTGTGTGGGGGCACCTCCCTGCCACGGCCCCTGGGCCGGCGTCCGCCGGCCGCCAGCTCACAGTTCACGCCTTAGGCCCGAGGGCGGGCGTGTCCAGAGCGTCCACTGGCGGTGACCACAGGCTCCCAGCCGAGGATTCCCGTTCGCCAGGACCCCACGCGGTTTCCCGTCTCGTAGGAAGCAGATGGGGGGGGCACCCTGTCTCCTTCTGGCCCGGGTTTCTCGAGGACAGACCGGCGTGGCCCTCGCAGCTTCTAGCTCCAAGGCCAAGGCCGTGCTCGCTTCCCGCCCGCCCGCGCCTCCTGGGCTGTCTCCTGACGGGGAGCGCAGCCCGTGCTCCGTGAGCAGCCGGGGTCTGGGCTCAGCGGCCGCGTTTGGGCCGGTGAACGCCGTCACCCCGGGACCCGCCCCTCCTCCCCTGAGCGTCTCCTCCTCCTCCGCCCGCAGACGCACCAGCTGGACCCGGCCGCGCACTGCCTGCGGCTGCGGTTCCTCGTGGAGGACCGGCTGCAGGTGTACGAGCCGCAGCCCGAGGAGGAGCTGTACGAGCTGGTAGGCTGCCTGGCCCCGGGCGCTCCCCTCTGTGTGCCTGTTCCTGGGCCGCGGGCTGCGGGCGTGGATGTGCGCCTGGTGACCGTCCCCGTGGGGTGGGGGTCCCCTCGGAGAGCAGAGCTGAGAACCGGCCCCGGCTCCCTCTCTGCAGGGGGGCGCGTGTGGCTGGGGAGGGGAGGCAGCGACAGGTGCTGCCCGGCGGGAGGGGCTCGGTGAGAGGAGACCGAGCGGGAGGCTCCCACGCCTCACTAACGCTGCCCTGTCCTTCCAGCTGTTCCAGGAGGTGGAGATCTGCCCCAAGGCCGTGCGCAGCCTGCAGCTGGAGAAGTCGGACGCGGCCGGGGACAGCTACGGTGTGTGTGCGTCCGCGGTCCCCCCGGGAACGTGGCCTCGGTCACCGACGGGGAAAACGCCTGGGGCTGGGTCAGGCCACAGCCCGTCTGGGTCCTGGGCTCGGCCAGGCAGCCACACGGGGAGAAGGAGGAATCTCCGCCCTGGTCGGTGTGGTTCAGTGGATAGAACGTCCACCTGTGCACCTAGGGTCCCGGGTTCGATTCCGGTCAAGGGCATGCACCCGGGTTGCAGGCTCTTCCCCAGCCCCCCTGATTGGGGCCCGTGCAGGAGGCAGCCAGTCAGTGTGTCTCTTTCACATCGATGTTTCTCTCTGTCTTCTCTCTGTCTTCCCTCTCTCCCACTCCCTAAAATCAATGGGAAATGTCCTCACATGAGGATGTGAGGATTAAAACAAAACAAAACAAACAAAAAGGAGGAATCTCCGGTGTGGCCAGGGCTGCGCGTCCCCCTTCTCAGCCGTCACCCTCGGGGCGTGCTGTCCGCAGGACGTGGGTGTGTGGGGAGGGGATTGCTCTGTGTTATTTACCCATCGTGAGATTTCGTATTCGTCTCCCCAAACACGCAGTGCCCTCCCTCCCCACAGCCAGGCCAGAGGAACTTGCGGTGCTGGGTGGGGGTTCCCCGTCCACCCTCACACTCCCGCCTCACGGCGAGGCCCACTCACGGGACGTGGTCATGGCCACGGCGGGGGTTTGCCCCGGATCCGGCACAGGTTCTAGCACAGCGGTCGGCAAACTCCTCAGTCCACAGAGCCAACTATCAGCAGTTCAACGATTGAAATTCCTTTGGAGAGCCACATTTTTTAAACAACTTCTAATGCCACTTCTTCAAAAATAGATCCGCCCAGGCTGTGGTATTTTATGGAAGAGCCACACTCAAGGGGCCAAAGAGCCGCAGTTTGCCGACCACGGTTCTAGCAGATCAGAGACAGCACTCCCCACAGAGGTGCAGGCAGGTCCCTGTGTCAGGTCTGGCTCGTGGAAAAGTGGTTTTATGTGAGTGGGGCCTCTGAACCCCCACCCACGTGGAAACGAGCTGGAAGTCAGAAACTGCTGTGAGGATGGCGTCCAGAACAGGAGGACACGATGAGATCGTGCGCCCTGGCTGCTGTGGTCGGTGGGTGCACTGAGAGGCCCCGGTCCGATTCAGGTCCGGGCACAGGCCTGGCTTGCGGGCTAGATGTCCAGTGGGGGTGGGAGTGCAGGAGGCAGCAGACCGAAGCTTCTCTCACTCCCTTTCTCTCTCAAGTCAAGAAAAACTAGTTTTTTAAAAAATGAGGTTGGCCAAAACCTGTTTGGCTCAATGGATAGAGTGTCGGCTTGGGGACTGAATAGTCCCGTTTGATTCCGGTCAAGGGCATGTACCTTGGTTGCAGGCATATCCCCAGTAGGGGGTGTCAAGAGGCGGCTGATCGATGACTCTCTCTCATCGATGTTTCTAACTTTATCTCTCTCCATTCCTCTCTGTACAAAATCAATAAAATATATTTAAAAAAGAGGTCATCGGGACGCCCGCAGGCAGATCTCCCCTCTCCATCTGAGGGATTCTGACACCTCGTGGTCGGCCGTGGGCGGCCGTGGTCGCTGCGCGTGGGCACTGTTCCAGGACCTGTGAACAAAACAAACGCTGGTTGTGACTCGGCGGGCCTCTCCCGGCTGGCCCGCGTGTGCTCAGCGCCAGGTGACCCCGTCTCTGCCCCCAGGCTTCTCCCTCTCCTCCGTGGAGGAGGACGGTGTCCGGAGACTCTACGTGAGCAGCGTGAGGGACACCGGGCTGGCGGCCAAGCAAGGTGGGTCTGTGTGTCCTGGCGTCTGCCTGTCTGCCTGTCTGTCTGCCTGTCTGCCTGTCTGCCTGCCTGTCTGTCTGTCTGTCTCCCTGCCTGCATGTCTGCCTGTCTGCCTACCTGTCTGCCTGTCTGTCTGTCTGTCTCCCTGCCTGCATGTCTGCCTGTCTGCCTACCTGCCTGTCTGTCTCTCCTAATTCCCTCTGGTTGGTGGGTGAGGAAGATCTGCCCGAATTCTCCGTAGCGAGTGTGTGAGTGAGTGTGAGTGAGTGTGAGTGTGTGTGTGTGTGTGTGTGAGTGTGTGTGTGTGTGTGTGAGTGTGTGTGTGTGTGTGTGTGAGTGTGTGTGTGAGTGTGAGTGAGTGTGTGTGTGAGTGTGAGGATGAGTATGATTGTGTGTGTGTGAGTGTGAGAGTGTGTGTGTGTGTGTGTGTGTGTGTGAGTGTGTGTCATTGAAAACCCAGGGAACATGGGTGATACTCCACACACCAGTTGTGTTGGAAATGTCACAATCTCAGATTTATAAAGTATCGATATTTTATTGATTTCAGAGAGGAAGGGAGAGGGAGAGAGAGAGACGGCAACATCAGTGATGAGAGAGAATCATGGATCGGCTGCCTCCTGCACACCCCGCACTGGCAATGGAGCCCGCAACCCGGGCCTGTGCCCTGACCTGGAACCGAACCGTGACCTGGTTCATAGGTCGATGCTCAGCCACTGAGTGATGCCGACCGGGCACAGTCTTGGATTTTTCACCGGATTCTGGGCCTGTCTCCCTGGGCTGATGGGGAATTCGTGCTGATCCCACGTGTGTGTGTGTGTGTGTGTGTCCCGCTGTGGGGCGGAGTGGGGGCCCTGGGTCTTCCTGCAGCTGAACCTGAGGAGGGAGGCCCTCTGCTCCGGAACCTGGTCAGAGCCACCAGGGCTGCCCGACTGCGGGTCCCTCCGAGCAGGCGCTGTGGCCGCCGTGTGGGGAGCGGCCTCTGCAGGAGCAGAGCAGGGGCCTGTGCGCCCAGTTCCCCCCCGTGCCGCTGAGCGCCGTCCCCTCGTGGGGAGCCCCCCCCAGCCCTGTCCCCTCATGGGGAGCCCCCCCCAGCCCTGTCCCCTCGTGGGGAGCCCCCCCCCAGCCCTGTCACCTCGTGGGGAGCCCCCCCCCAGCCCCGTCCCCTCGTGGGGAGCCCCCCCCAAGCCCCGTCCCCTCATGGGGAGCCCCCCCCCAGCCCTGTCCCCTCGTGGGGAGCCCCCCCCCAGCCCTGTCCCCTCATGGGGAGCCCTCCCCAGCCCTGTCCCCTCGTGGGGAGCCCCCCCCAGCCCTGTCCCCTCTTGGGGAGCCCCCCCCCCAGCCCCGTCCCCTCGTGGGGAGCACCCTCACCAGGCCCTTCCCTCCCAGCTGACAGCCCTTCCTGCCCCCACCCTCCCGTTCTTCTGGAACATTCTCTCACTGACTGACGGGTGGACCTGCCCCTGGCCGTTCGCTTCCTGCTCCCCGAGGCCCCGGCTCCTTGGGCCCTGCTCGGGGAGTTCCCTCCCCGCGGCTCTCGGAGCAGCAGCCTTTCGGGGGACTTCCCTGGGGCATGACGTGGTCCCAGGAGCACAGACAGCAGAGACGAGCCTCTCCCGATGTGTCTGCAGCGAGCGCCCGCGAGGGCCAGGCAGCGGGATGGTCCTCCGCCCCCGAGCGTGGCCCCTGCCTCCGCACAGTGACCGAGCCTCTCTGTTCCCGAGTCACGTTTGTGGGGAGACGTTGGCGGAGTCAGTTCAGATGTGTGCTCAGGGCAGCGCAGGGCAGGGCGGGCAGACCACGCCTGGAGCCCCCGGCCCAGGCCCTGCACCTGCTCCCCTTCGGGGCACCGTCTGTGCGGCAGGACTTGGGGGTGTTTGGGTGCAGCCGCCTCCTGCTCCCCCCCCCCCCCCCCGGCTCTGCCGCTGCCTCCGTGTGACACGGAGCTTCCCGCCGCCTTGCAGGCCTGACGGTGGGGGATGAGGTTCTCGAGATCAGCAGCCGCGTGGCCGCCAGCCTGAGCTCGGCGGCCCTCAGGGACTTCCTCTCGCAGCCCAGCCTGGGCCTCCTGGTGCGGACGCGCCCCGAGCTGGAGGGGGGCGCCCTGCTGCTGGGGAGCCCGCCCCACCGTGCCGACAGCCCCGCCGAGCCCGGCCACAGCCTCTTCGCCTTCCTCGCCGGCAGCCCAGGTAAGGCCACTTGCGGAGCTGGGCGCCACGTCGGGCCCCGTGCTCCGTGCCTGGGGGACGGTGTGGGGTCCTGGGGGACGGTCTGCTGCACCCTGCCTGCCCCGTGGGGGCTCCTGAGAAGGACGAGTGGAGGAGGCCGCTGCTCGGGCTGCGGACAGAGACAGGGACACGGAATCCAGGAGTCATGGAGGTGCTGGGCTGAGCCTCCCCCTGCCGCCCACACTCCACTGTCCACGTCGCACTGACCACGTCCCACCCCAGCCACGTCCGCTCCTGAGCGACAGGACGCAGTGCCGAGTGGACGGGGCTCTGATCTCTGGTTGGTCCTTTTTATTCTTTTTTAAGTTTAAGAAATATATATTGTATTGATTTTTTTTTTTAACAGAGAGGAAGGGAGAGGGATAGAGTTAGAAACATGGGTCAGCTGCCTCCTGCACACCCCCCACTGGGGATGTGCCCATAATCAAGGTGCACGCCCTTGACCGGAGTTGAACCTGGGACCCTTCAGTCCGCAGGCCGACGCTCTACCCACTGAGCAGCACCGGCCAGGGCTGGTTGTCTTGTCTCTGGGGCTCTTCGCTGCAGAGTCCCCACGGGGTGAGCCCCCCACTCTGGATCCCTGGGCGCCCTGTTCCAGCACTGACCCCCCAGGTGTGTCTGCGTGCGGCCTGTCCCCCCGCTGGCCTGTCCTCTTCTAGGGGGTCCCCCAGTGAGAGGGTCCCCACCACCCAGGGCTGGAGTGGGGCTCCATCTTGTAGGCTGGGGTTTTGAATTTATTTTCTTTTAAAAACTCGGGTTAAGGAAAAAGTCTTCAGTTTCAAAGTCTGAGTGCAGGCAGCACCGCGGGCGGGAAGGACCTCTTGCTCAGGTTCAGGCTCTCGGGGAGGCTTTCGAAAACCGGGCACTTTTTACTGTTGACGGCCTTGACCCGTGAGGTCACTGTTGCACCCACAGTCCCATCTGACCTGTAGGATGTCACTCCCTGAGCCCTGCACCTTTAACTGTAGGGCTGGGACCACGCGCTGTTCCTTCCTGTGACCACCAGGTGGCAGGCGCGACCCGGAGCCTTGGGCTCAGACAGGTGCCTGGAATGAAATGACAATGAAGGACTGTTAGGCCCGTTCCTTCCAGGGTTTCCTGAGGTTGGGAGTCGGGCTGCAGGCAGAGTGGGCGCCTCTCCCCAGTTCCCTGCCTGACCCTCGGGGGCTCCTGGATGGGGACAGAGGTCGGCTGACCCACCTGTGGCCATCCGGCTGGGGCTTGTGTTTGTGGGAACCAGTCTGATGGGAACCAGTCCTGGGGCCCCTTCCCCATGACCCCGGCAGATGGAGGGGCTGTGAGGGGGCTCCTGTCTGTGAAGTGACAGACTGACCGGCCCTTTGAGGGCCGAGCTTACTGACCCCATGCTACTGCAACTCAGGGGTCCCAAGCTGTTCCTGTGAAGAGGACACTGTTATAGTGTATTTTATCTTTAAAAACTATGTATGTGCTTTGCAAATTTAAATTTTTACTAAAGTTTTAGAGTATATATATTTATTGACCTCAGAAAAGAAGAGAGAAGGAGAGAGAGAGATAGAAACACCAATGATAAGAGAGAATCATGCATGGATCGGCTGCCCCCTGCACCCTCCCTACTGGGAAACGAGCCCACAACGCAGGCCTGTGCCCTGAACCAGGAATCAAACCGTGGCCTCCTGGATCCTAGATTGATGCTCAACCACTGAACCACATGGGCTGGGCGCAGATTTCTTATTACATTTTTAAAAACAAAGAATGCATTTCAGTGTTGGAGCCTGTCTTAGGAATATGTCCGTGGCTGTGGACCCCAGGTGTTCCGTGCCAGAGCTGTAAAATGAGCTGCTGGCCTTCCTGTCCTCGTCCCGTCACCTCCTCCGGACAGGTGGCTCCGGTTCAGTGACCTGGCGGACTGGGCGCCCCCGTGCACCGGGCGTTCTGCCCGCACCCGCACTGCGTGTCCGCTTGTCTGTGACCGCTTCGTCCCGGACACTGTGCCCTGGTCCAGCCCCTTCGGACCGAGCCTGCCGGGCCGACCGGCCTCGGGCGTCCGGAGTGCAGACGCAGGGGGTTCTGATCCTGTGGCCGCACGTGGACCAGTCTGTCCGAAGTAGGTCTGCGGCTCAGGGCAGAGCGGCGGGGAGGTGGGCGTGGGGAGCGGCCGCCCGGTCTCCCTCTACCTGCTCGCTGCCGTTCCCGGTCTGTGACCGAGGGAGGTGGCAGGGCGGTGTGTGCGCAGGATGGGCAGCGGAGGAGCTCCGAGCCCAGGCAGAGCGCGAGGCCGGGCAGGAGGCAGCAGCGGGCCGGGCAGGAGGCAGCAGCGGGCAGGAGGCAGCAGCGGGCCGGGCAGGAGGCAGCAGTGGGCCGGGCAGGAGGCAGCAGTGGGCCGGGCAGGAGGCAGCAGCGGGCAGGAGGCAGCAGCGGGCCGGGCAGGAGGCAGCAGCGGGCCGGGCAGAGGCAGCAGCGGGCCGGGCAGGAGGCAGCGGGCCGGGCAGGAGGCAGCAGCGGGCCGGGCAGGAGGCAGCAGCGGGCCGGGCAGGAGGCAGCGGGGCGGGCAGGAGGCAGCAGCGGGCCGGGCAGGAGGCAGCAGTGGGCCGGGCAGGAGGCAGCAGCGGGCAGGAGGCAGCAGCGGGCCGGGCAGGAGGCAGCAGCGGGCCGGGCAGGAGGCAGCAGCGGGCCGGGCAGGAGGCAGCGGGGACGGGCAGGAGGCAGCAGCGGGCCGGGCAGGAGGCAGCAGCGGGCCGGGCAGGAGGCAGCGGCGGGCCGGGCAGGAGGCAGCAGCGGGCCGGGCAGGAGGCAGCGGGACGGGCAGGAGGCAGCAGCGGGCCGGGCAGGAGGCAGCAGCGGGCCGGGCAGGAGGCAGCGGGACGGGCAGGAGGCAGCAGCGGGCCGGGCAGGAGGCAGCAGCGGGCCGGGCAGGAGGCAGCAGCGGGCCGGGCAGGAGGCAGCAGCGGGCAGGAGGCAGCAGCGGGCAGGAGGCAGCAGCGGGCCGGGCAGGAGGCAGCAGCGGGCAGGAGGCAGCAGCGGGCAGGAGGCAGCAGCGGGCCGGGCAGGAGGCAGCGGGACGGGCAGGAGGCAGCAGCGGGCCGGGCAGGAGGCAGCAGCGGGCCGGGCGGGAGGCAGCAGCGGGCCTGGGCACGGGGTGCACCCGGGGGGTGACAGGCCGTGAAGACGAAGGGTGGGCCTGTGGTCCTTTCGTCCGGTGGACGTGCACCTTAGGCTCCTGCTGTGCAGGGTGAGCAGTGAGGACACGCTGTGCTGTTGAAGGATGACGGGAGCAGCACCAGCACAGACAGCAGCACCCATCCCGAGCCGAGGCGTGGGCTGGCCCTGGCGGGCGTGACGATGTGTTCTCTCCGGGATCGCACGCCTCCCTCACGGGCTGGCCTGCGGGGTCACTGTCGCGTCCCCCCACATCCGTTCTGCTTCGTCCTCAGGGCCCAGCCTGGGCGGGTCGCAGGGCAGCAGCACGGAGCCCTCCCCTGAGGAGGCCGAGGGGCTGGACCCCGAGTCCTCGGACGACACGGACCAGAGCAGCAAGGTGAGAGCTTTTCATTTTACCTCCCGCGTCCCGCCCCCCACGTCAGCTAGATGTGGCGGACGCCCGCCCTCCCCCCGGGCCCAGGAGTCCCCCGGAGGTGTCACTGGATAATGTTCAAACCCAGAGGCAGCCTCGCTGACAGGCCGTGGGCGGGAGGGCAGGCGCAGAGGTCACTGAGCCCACTGTGCACCCGCCTCGCCCCCTGTGGACGGGACGCGGCCTCTCGCCGTGCGGTGGGCCAGCTCCGTGTCTGACTCGTGGTTTCTGCCGTGGCTTCTGCACCTCGTGCTCAGCTTCGGTTAGAAGTGAGCCTCTTGCCCGGCCGCGTGGCTCAAGGGTGGGCGTTGACCTATGAACCAGGAGGTCAGGGTTCGATTCCCGGTCAGGGCACAGGCCCGGGTTGTGGGCCCCATCCCCAGTGTGGGGCGTGCAGGAGGCAGCCGGTCCATGGTTCTCTCTCATCATGGATGTTTCTTTTCCCCTCTCTGAAATCAATAAAAACGTATTTTAAAAAATAAAAATAAGAAAGGGTTGGTATTTCTAACATGCTGCTATTAGTCACTCATGCTAAAAATAACTAAATAAGTAATAAAGTAGTTTTAAGATTTATAAGTTTAATATTTTCAGACTGAGAGGCGTTCGTGGTTGACTGTTAATAAAACAGATGAATAGGATATGCATTTCACTTAAAGCTCCCTTCTCCTGGAAGAGCAAATAAGATTTTGTTGCCCTGGCCAGCTTGGCTCAGTGGATAGAGCGGCAGTTGCAGACTGAAGGGTCCCGGGTTCGATTCCGGCCAAGGGCACAGGCCTGGGTTGCAGGCTTGATCCCCAGTTGGGAGCGTGCAGGAGGCAGCCGATCCATGATTCTCTCTCAATATGGATGTTTCTATCTCTCTTTCTATAAAAACTTCTAAAAATCTATAATAATAAAAGCGTAATATGCTAATTAGACCGGACAGCCGAACATCCTTCCGGACGACCTTCCGGAGAAGCCAGGGCTGAGCTCCTTGCGTGAACGCCGTGCATTGGGCCTCAGTATTTTATGAAAAAGGAATTTGCTGCAGATTAAGCCCTGGCCCTTCCTTTACTTGTGCTTCTACTTGGGGAGGGCCAGTCGCTCTCTAGAGAAACAGCCATTTCCGTGTGAGAGGAGGCATTTTGAAGGTGTTTATGCCGTTATTTTGTTGTTGAGAAGAACCCGGCGAGCTCTGGCTTTCCAGCGTGGGTGCGAGCGCGTCTGCTTCCTGCCCGGCGCCTTCGCCGAGAGCCCGTTCTGACGTGGGCCTGAGCTCCCGTCGGCGCCCGTGCCTTCCCGGTGGGTCCTGGGGCCATTTCCGTTTAGATGCCGTGAGTCATGGGGCCGGGGAGCAGGAAGGAAGAGGCCCGTCTGTCTGTCTGACTCCGCGGCTCTGTGCAGGAGGTGCTGAGACGCGGACTCCGGCCGGAGGTGGGACCGCCGCTGTCCGGCTCCCTGCGGAGGCTCAGGTGTGCCTGGGGTGGGCGCCGTCTCAGGGCTGAGGCTCTGATGGGACCGTTCTTACTCCTTTCCCCCGGCCGGGCGCCGTGGATCCTCACTCCTCAGCTCGTGTTTATTCAGAGTTTGTCTTTATTTGGTTGTTTTGCCACCCAAGCTCCGTATCTAAAGTCGCCTTTTGTGAATGAAGCTTCTCGCTAGGACATTTGGAAGCAAAAGCTTTACACGGAGCCGAAGAGTTTTACTGTGTGTTACTAATAAGTAAGGAGCCGGCTTGTGTGGCCCCGTGGGGTGAGTGTTGGCTCATGGACGGAGAGGTCATGGTTCGATTCCCAGTCAGGACCCAGGCCTGGGTGGTGGGCTCGAACCCCAGTGTGGAGCGTGCAGGAGGCAGCCCATCCATGATTCTCTCATCATGGATGTTTCTCTCTCTCTCCCCTTCTCCCTTCCTCTCTATCTAAAATTCATTAAAGTATCTAAATAATAAAAGCGTAATATGCTAATCAGACTGGACGTCCTTCCAGACAGCCCTCTGGCTGACGCCCGGGTCCTGGTGCCAGAGGGAAGCCGGTCCGGGCGCCTGCAGCCAGGGAGGGAAGGCTGCTCTCGCACGAGCTTCGTGCATCAGGCCTCCAGCTAAGAAACAAATGGTAACCGAGATGAGTACTTGTATGTGGGGGCACTGTTCCCTGGTAGCTCAGCTCCTCCCCCCAGTGCCCGAAAATAAAGCTCACTTTATTTTCTTGAGAATAAAGTGAAAACTTTTGTGTATGAGGCTGCCCAATACACTATTCCTCTGCTTATAGAGGACAGTATTGGAACAGAGAGTTAAGCAACTTGCTGGAGCTCACACAGCTCTGAGGTGCCAAACCAGGCCTGGTGTGTTCCCTGCTTTTCCAAACTGCCCTCTGGCGGGATGGCTGTGGTCCGCAGGAAAAGCTGGGTTTCTGAGAGGGAAGGAACCGCTAACAGCGGGCTGAGAGCCCATTGTGACGAGGCTCAGTGAGTGCCCAACTCTCTTCCCGAGGCCTAAGCTTTCCAGGTCTTATTTTATGATTTAAACAGCGCGAGCACAGCTCACCTCTCTCGATTAGGCTTAAATAGTTGTTTGATGCGTCTCATATCAGTGTACAATTTTTCTTGAGAATAAAGCGAAAACTTTTGTGTATGAGGCTGCCCAAGTATGGAAGGGTGATCTTGAACGCAGCAGGTTGGGTGTAGAAATGAATAAATAATAGAAACCAATCCTGTATAATTAAAGGGTACTATGCAAATTGATCCTAACTATGAAATGACCAGGAATGACTGGTGGCTACGACACACTGACCACCAGGGGAGCTCTGCTCAGCCACAGCCGGGCTGATGGCTGAGAGCGCAGCAGTGGTGGCGGGAGCTCTCCCACCTCCTGGGGGCACTAAGGGTGTCTAACCGCGGCTTAGGCGGCTCCCGGGGGCAGTCTGACATCTCTGAGGGCTCCAGGCTGCCAGAGGGATGTCTGACTGCCCGCTTAGGCCTCATCCCCGGGGGAGTGGGCCTAAGCCAGCAGGTGGCCATCCCCCGAGGGGGCCCAGGCTGGGCTGAGGGGACCCCGCCCCCCGAGTGCCTGAATTTTTCGTGCACGGGGCCTCTAGTAAACCTATAAATGAAAACCATCGTTTTTAATCCTGGCTAACTATGTGACAGCTGTTGGTTTAATATTTTTTGCTGTTTTTTCCTAAATTAATTGTCTTAAGGGATATTGGGCAGGATAAAGAGAAGGTGTGCTGGAATTTCATGTTTTTAATTTTTTTTGACTTTATTGTGGTTATATTGGTCAACAAAATAACAGGCTTTAGCTGTACAATTCTTTCTTTATTTATTTTAAAAAATATTTTATTGATTTTGTACAGAGAGGAAGGGAGAGAGATAGTTAGAAACATCGATGAGAGAGAATCATCGATCAGCTGCCTCTTGCACACCCCCTACTGGGGATATGCCCGCAACCAAGGTACATGCCCTTGACCGGAATCGAACCGGGGACCCTTCAGTCCCCAAGCCGACGTTCTATCCATTGAGCCAAACCGGTTTCGGCTAGCTGTACAATTCTTTAATATGTCATCTGTATATTGTGTTACATACAGTAACATTACAAACTTAATTTATAAGATTTTATTCTTTATTTTATTTTTATTGTTGACATGATTACAGACGTCCCCCATCTGCCCCGCCTTGCCTACCTCTGAGAGTTACTGGGCAGGACAGAGAGAATGTGTTGGAATTTTATGTTTTCCATTTTTTTTAGAAATCACAGCTTTTGTTCCAGGCGGCCTCTTGGGGCTGAGCAGGCAGCTCTTTGTGAGCTGCCAGTGGGGCGGCTCCAGAGTGTCAGGTCCTGGGGGGGAGGTGGGAGTGGGGGTGGGGATGAGGGGGTGGGGATAAGGGGGTGGGGGTAAGGGGGTAGGGTGGGGGTGAGGGTAAGGGTAGAGGTGGGGTGGGGATTGGGGTGGGGTGGGGGGTGGGGGTAAGGGTAGGGGTGGGGTGGGGATTGGGGTGGGGTGGGGCGTGGGGGTAAGGGTAGGGGTGGGGTGGAGATGGGTGGTTCCTCCTCCCTCTGTGAGCGCCCCCTTCCCTCTGACGGGGTCCTGCCCCTGGAGGATGTGAGGAGCGGAGGCTGTGTCTGCAGGGTCCCCCTGCCCCCAGCGGTGATTTGGTTTCCGTTTAGCGAGCGGGCTGGGGAAATGGGACATTTCATTCTGGAAGCCCTCTGCTCTTTGATCCCATCCTGAAGCCTCAGGAAGGGCTTTGCTGACAATGGGGTTCGCAGGGAAATAGGAAAACAGGCTGTCAGCGCCTGTGGTGCTGCTCCTGCTGGGCGGTGGGCGGGGGGAGCGGAGGGGGCTGAGGGGGAGGGGAGAAGGGAGGGGGAGGGGGTCCTCCAGGTGGAGCTGTCCCTGCTGGGGGCGGGCGGGCGGGCGGGCGGGCGGTCAGCTGATCCAGGTCCACGCGGAGAGGAGAGGAGGGAGAAGAGCATCGGGAAGCGGCTCAGCTTTGCTCCAGGTTTGCCGCCCGGACCTCCCTCTGCACTTTGCGGGTGCGGGGTGCGGGGTGCAGGGTGCGAGCTGTGCCATCCAAGCATGACCTCCCGGTGACCCTGCCTGCTGGTCCCCTCCTGTGGGAAGCGCCGGGACGGGCGTCTCCATGGGCGCGGGGCGCGGGCGGGGCGCGGGGCGGGGAGCGGGCAGGGAGCGGGGAGCGCGGGCTGGGCTGGAGCGTTCAGGGAGCAGGGCCTGGGGCGCGGGCGCGGGGCTGAGCGGGCGGGTGGGGCTGCGGGTGTTGGGGGGGGAGGCGCCCGTCGGGGCTGCACCGGGGACTGTCCAGGGCGCTGTCCATCCGCCCCACCGCCCAGTGAGCACGGGGTTGGGGGGTGCTCCGCGGCTCCGTCCTTGCTTGGTGCCCGGGGCCTGGGTTCGAGGAGTGTGTGTGGGGTGTGGGGTGTGGGGAGGGGGGCGGGGGGCGGGGGCGCCAGCTCCCGGTGGAGGTGAATTTGGGACCCTCACCTGGAGCCTTTCTCTCTGAAGGGCAGGGATGGCTTTTTCTCTGGGCTGATTCCCTCCTCCAGCGGAGGGGCCGGGAGGGGCCGGTGCGGCTCCAGATGGAGGAGGAGGAGATGGAGGAGGAGGAGGAGGGGAAGCCCTGGGTCCGCGGTGCCAGGGTTTGGGGGGAGAGGGTCTGTGCCCCCACCTGGGCCGGGACAGGCTGGCCTCTGCGGGGAAGCGAGGGGTCAGGGTCAGCGGAGCCTCCCCGGCTGTGTCCGAGCTCGGACCCCCAGGAACGTCCGGTGGACACACGTCACCTGGTCCTCGTCCCTCCTTCGTCCGCCCGCCCAGCGGAGGCCCCGGCCCCGGGCGGGAGGGCGCGCAGGCTGGCGGCCTCGGAGATGCTGTGATTTGTGGGTCACCCCTGAGCTGTGGGGGGCACCCGGGGAGACTCAAAGGGCCCGTTTTAGATCTGAGCTCATGGGGGCGGTGGTGGCCTGTGGCCGCGTCCAGCCGGGCAGCGGGCAGTGAGCGGGCGGTCCCTTTGTGCGCCGTCTCATCGGGGACAGCGAGCTCCGGGGACATGGCGCCTCCTGCGCCCCACTTCCTCCCGCCCCCCGCTTCCTCCCGCGCCCCACTTCCTCCCGCGCCCCACTTCCTCCCGCGCCCCACTTCCTCCCGCGCCCCACTTCCTCCCGCCCCCCACTTCCTCCCGCGCCCCACTTCCTCCCGCGCCCCACTTCCTCCCGCGCCCCACTTCCTCCCGCCCCCCACTTCCTCCCGCGCCCCACTTCCTCCCGCGCCCCCACCTTCCTCCCGCCCCCACTTCCTCCCGCGCCCCCACTTCCTCCCGCGCCCCCACTTCCTCCCGCGCCCCACTTCCTCCCGCGCCCCACTTCCTCCCGCCCCCCCACTTCCTCCCGCGCCCCACTTCCTCCCGCGCCCACTTCCTCCCGCGCCCCACTTCCTCCGCGCCCCACTTCTCCCGCCCCACTTCCTCCCGCCGCCCCACTTCCTCCCGCGCCCCACTTCCTCCCGCCCCCCACTGCCTCCCGCGCCCCACTTCCTCCCGCCCCCCACTTCCTCCCGCCCCCCACTTCCTCCCGCGCCCCACTTCCTCCCGCGCCCCACTTCCTCCCGCCCCCCACTTCCTCCCGCGCCCCACTTCCTCCCGCGCCCCACTTCCTCCCGCCCCCCACTTCCTCCCTCCTCCCGCGCCCCCACTTCCTCCCGCGCCCCACTTCCTCCGCCCCACTTCCTCCCGCGCCCCACTTCCTCCCGCGCCCCACTTCCTCCCGCCCCCCCACTTCCTCCCGCGCCCCACTTCCTCCCGCCCCCCACTTCCTCCCGCGCCCCGCTTCCTCCCGCCCCGAGTTCTGCCCGTGTCCCTGCGGTGGTCTCCCTCCCCACAGGACAGCTCTGGACCCCGGAGAGCCGCCCGTTTCCAGGGACTGACCGCTCGTCCCTCTGCCCTCACTGCTGTGGCCCTACTGTGTGCCGTCCCCTCCTGGGACGTGGGCTGGGGGCGGAGGTGTGCAGAGGCCGCAGGGCAGCTTCCGTCCGGGTGGGGGTGGCCAGGACGCCAGGTGGCCTCAGTGCTGGGCGGGGACGGCCGTGCTGGCGTCTGCATCCGAGGTCATGGCCTTGGCTGGGCTCTGTGGGGAAGGCCGGATGGGGATGGAATCGGATGTCCTCTGGCCACAACTCAGTGTTACTGATTTCAGAGGGAGGGAGGGAGAGGGAGAGCGAAACATCGATGATGAGAGAGTCATTGACCACCTGCCTCCTGCACGCCCCACCCTGGGGATCGAGCCTGACACCTGGGCCTGTGCCCTGGCCGGGAATCGAACCCGGGACCTTTGGTGTCTGGGACGATGCTCCATCCCTGAGCCTCGCCGGCCGGGGCCCGGAGCGCTTTAAGACGCGTGGCTTGCGGGCGGCCCCAGAGGCTCTGGTTGGTCAGTCTGGAGGCAGCGCTGGGCGCGGGGAGGGTCACAGGGCTGGGAACCCAGTCTGACCCGTGGAGACGGGGGTCCCGGGTGTCACGGCCCTGGTGGGGGGGCCGTTTCCGCAGCCGGAGAAGCTGGAGTCTTAGCGGCCTGACGCCCTGACCGCCCACCGATCGCCCGGGCGGGCAGTGTGGGGGGGTGTGGGGGAGGGGACACGGGAGGGACAGAGGGCGGGCGGGCCGCTCTGCGTGCCCGGCCCTCACCCGCCTGCTCCCTGCCTGCGCTCTGGAGAGCACGGAACAGGGCGCGGTGTCCTGCCGCAGTCCGCGAGGCGACATGGACCCCGGCGGGCCGCAGCCAGCCGCGCGGCAGCTCACGGACGCCGACAAGCTGCGGAAGGTCATCTGCGAGCTGCTGGAGACGGAGCGCACCTACGTGAAGGTGGGTGCCCCCCCGGACCCCGTCCGCCGCTTCCCCCGCCGTGTCCACGGCTCACAGACCGAAAGCCGGGCCTGGCCGAGGAGCCCTCGGCCTCCCCACGGACCGCGCGCGGCCTTTATCCCAGGCGTGAAGGTTTCCTTTGAGGTTTAGGGGGCACAGCAGTCCTTACCGCTGTTCCCATGGAAACTACACAATCACCCTATGTAATGAAATCCTAATATGCAAATTGACAGAAGAGTGGAATGACTGGTTGCTATGATGCTCACTGACCACCAGGGGGAAGACTCAACGCAGGAGCTGGCCCTGGTGGTCAGTGCGCTCCCACAGGGACACGGCTCAGCCAGAAGCCGGGCTCACGGCTGGCGAGCTCAGCGGCAGTGACGGGGCCTCTCTGCCTCCGTGGCAGCACTGAGGACCCCTGGGGGATGTCTGACTGCCGGTGGGGGCGGCCTAAGTCGGCAGCCGGACATCCCCCAGGGGTCCCGGACTGCGAGAGGGCACAGGCCGGGCTGAGGGACCCCCGCCCCCTTCCCCCAGTGCATGAGTGCTGTGCACCGACCCCTATCAGTAAGTAAAATACACAAAGACCCTCTGTGCTGCGAGCACTCACAGCTGTAGCCGGCCTGTGTCCCTCCCTGTCCGCCCGGCTGGTGGTGAGGCACGTGCGGACCTTTGACCTTTGAGCCGTGAGCGCTGCTGAGCTGGTACGACAGTGGGATTCAGTTTTGGGAAAATGTATCTTCAGACGCTCACCTGAGTCTCAGGAAGGGCTCAGCTCCGTTCTCTGTTACTACTGGTTCTCAACGTTCAGTTCTCTTACCATATGTGTAATGACAGCATTTCCAGCAGTTCCTGTAACTGCGATAATTACATGTTCCTACACAGAATGCAGTTAGAGTTACTTACGCGTGACAACGGCATGATCTGTCTTCACGGATCTGTGTCTTTATTTCCTTGTTAATCCTCCTCCGAGGATATTTTCCCACTGGTTTTAGAGGGAGTGGGAGGGAGAGGGAGAGACAGAGAGAAACATGGATGTGAGAGAAGCACCATGATTGGTTACTTCCTGCCCAACCAGGGCCCAGGCCAGGGAGGAGCCTGCTGCCAAGGTACATGCCCTGGATTGGAATCGAACCCGGGACCCTTTGGTCTGCAGGCTGATGCTCTATCCACGAAGCCAAACTGGCCAGGGCTGTTTTAATCTTTAAGTCAAGGGTCAGCCAATTGCGGCATTGGGCCCAGACCAGCCCTCTGCCTGCTTTTACTAATAAAGTTTTATTAGAACACAGCCCGTTCACGTGTCACCCTTCCCTTTCCTGTTACAGCCGCCGCCCGGGCAGCTGGGGCGGGCCGGAGCCACGTGGCTGCAAAGCCGGACGCTCCTTTAATCAGCACCTTCGTGGCCTGAGCGCTGGACCAGGCGTCTGGGGCAGAACCGGGTTTCCCCTCTGGGATCTTTGTGGCCATTCAGACCCGTTAACGAGACCTTCTTCACCCTCAGGATCTCAACTGCCTCATGGAGCGATACCTGCGGCCCCTGCAGAAGGAGACCTTTCTCACCCAGGATGAGGTACGGGGGCCGCTCGGCTGGCGGGGAGGGCGCGAGCAGGGTCATGGATCTCAGACCCGTGACTGGCCGAAAGGTCAGGCCACTGCAGCGGGAGGAAGGTCAGGTCACTGCAGCGGGAGGAAGGTCAGGCCACTGCAGCGGGAGGAAGGTCACTGCAGCGGGAGGAAGGTCAGGCCACTGCACCGGAGGAAGGTCAGGTCACTGCACCGGAGGAAGGTCAGGTCACTGCACCGGAGGAAGGTCAGGTCACTGCAGCGGGAGGAAGGTCAGGTCACTGCACCGGAGGAAGGTCAGGTCACTGCACCGGAGGAAGGTCAGGTCACTGCACCGGAGGAAGGTCAGGTCACTGCAGCGGGAGGAAGGTCAGGTCACTGCAGCGGGAGGAAGGTCAGGCCACTGCAGCGGGAGGAAGGTCAGTCCACTGCACCTGGAGGAAGGTCAGGTCACTGCAGCAGGAGGAAGGTCAGGCCACTGCACCTGGAGGAAGGTCAGGTCACTGCAGCAGGAGGAAGGTCAGGCCACTGCAGCGGGAGGAAGGTCAGGTCACTGCACCGGAGGAAGGTCACTGCAGTGGGAGGAAGGTCAGGTCACTGCAGCGGGAGGAAGGTCAGGCCACTGCAGCGGGAGGAAGGTCAGGTCACTGCAGCGGGAGGAAGGTCAGACCCGGGAGGAAGGTCAGGCCACTGCACCGGAGGAAGGTCAGGTCACTGCAGCGGAGGAAGGTCAGGTCACTGCAGCGGGAGGAAGGTCAGGTCACTGCAGTGGGAGGAAGGTCAGGCCACTGCAGCGGGAGGAAGGTCAGGTCACTGCAGCGGGAGGAAGGTCAGGTCACTGCAGTGGGAGGAAGGTCACTGCACCGGGAGGAAGGTCAGGTCACTGCAGCGGGAGGAAGGTCAGGTCACTGCAGCGGGAGGAAGGTCAGGTCACTGCAGTGGGAGGAAGGTCACTGCACCGGGAGGAAGGTCAGGTCACTGCAGCGGGAGGAAGGTCAGGTCACTGCAGTGGGAGGAAGGTCAGGCCACTGCACCGGGAGGAAGGTCAGGTCACTGCAGTGGGAGGAAGGTCAGTCCACTGCACCGGAGGAAGGTCAGGTCACTGCACCGGGAGGAAGGTCAGGTCCGGGAGGAAGGTCAGGTCACTGCAGCGGGAGGAAGGTCAGGTCACTGCAGCGGGAGGAAGGTCAGTCCACTGCAGCGGGAGGAAGGTCAGGTCACTGCAGTGGGAGGAAGGTCAGGTCACTGCAGTGGGAGGAAGGTCAGGTCACTGCAGCGGGAGGAAGGTCACTGCAGCGGGAGGAAGGTCAGGTCACTGCACCGGGAGGAAGGTCAGGTCCGGGAGGAAGGTCAGGTCACTGCAGCGGGAGGAAGGTCAGGTCACTGCAGCGGGAGGAAGGTCAGTCCACTGCAGCGGGAGGAAGGTCAGGTCACTGCAGCGGGAGGAAGGTCAGGTCACTGCAGTGGGAGGAAGGTCAGGTCACTGCACTGAGAGGAAGGTCACTGCAGCGGGAGGAAGGTCAGTCCACTGCACTGAGAGGAAGGTCACTGCAGCGGGAGGAAGGTCAGTCCACTGCACCGGGAGGAAGGTCACTGCAGTGGGAGGAAGGTCAGGTCACTGCAGCGGGAGGAAGGTCAGGTCACTGCAGCGGGAAGAAGGTCAGGCCACTGCAGCGGGAGGAAGGTCAGGTCCGGGAGGAAGGTCAGGTCACTGCAGCGGGAGGAAGGTCAGGTCACTGCAGCGGGAGGAAGGTCAGTCCACTGCACTGAGAGGAAGGTCACTGCAGCGGGAGGAAGGTCAGTCCACTGCACCGGGAGGAAGGTCACTGCAGTGGGAGGAAGGTCAGGTCACTGCAGCAGGAGGAAGGTCAGGTCACTGCAGCGGGAGGAAGGTCAGGTCACTGCACCGGGAGGAAGGTCAGGTCACTGCAGCGGGAGGAAGGTCAGTCCACTGCACTGGGAGGAAGGTCACTGCAGCGGGAGGAAGGTCAGTCCACTGCACCGGGAGGAAGGTCACTGCAGTGGGAGGAAGGTCAGGTCACTGCAGCGGGAGGAAGGTCAGGTCACTGCAGCGGGAGGAAGGTCAGGTCACTGCACCGGGAGGAAGGTCACTGCAGCGGGAGGAAGGTCAGTCCACTGCACCGGGAGGAAGGTCACTGCAGCGGGAGGAAGGTCAGGTCACTGCAGCGGGAGGAAGGTCAGGTCACTGCAGCTGGAGGAAGGTCACTGCAGCGGGAGGAAGGTCAGTCCACTGCACCGGGAGGAAGGTCACTGCAGTGGGAGGAAGGTCAGGTCACTGCAGCGGGAGGAAGGTCAGGTCACTGCAGCGGGAGGAAGGTCAGGTCACTGCACTGGGAGGAAGGTCAGGTCACTGCACCGGAGGAAGGTCAGGCCACTGCAGCGGGAGGAAGGTCACTGCAGCGGGAGGAAGGTCAGGTCACTGCAGCGGGAGGAAGGTCAGGTCACTGCACTGGGAGGAGGTCAGGTCACTGCACCGGAGGAAGGTCAGGCCACTGCACCGGGAGGAAGGTCACTGCAGTGGGAGGAAGGTCAGGTCACTGCAGCGGGAGGAAGGTCAGGTCACTGCAGCGGGAGGAAGGTCAGGTCACTGCAGTAGGAGGAAGGTCAGGTCACTGCACCGGGAGGAAGGTCAGGCCACTGCAGCGGGAGGAAGGTCAGGCCACTGCACCGGGAGGAAGGTCACTGCAGTGGGTGGAAGGTCAGGTCACTGCAGTGGGAGGAAGGTCAGACCCGGGAGGAAGGTCAGGTCACTGCACCGGGAGGAAGGTCAGGCCACTGCAGCGGGAGGAAGGTCAGGCCACTGCAGCGGGAGGAAGGTCAGACCCGGGAGGAAGGTCAGGTCACTGCAGTGGGAGGAAGGTCAGGTCACTGCAGCGGGAGGAAGGTCAGGTCACTGCAGCGGGAGAAGGTCAGGTCACTGCAGTGGGAGGAAGGTCAGTCACTGCACCGGAGGAAGGTCACTGCAGCGGGAGGAAGGTCAGTCCACTGCACCGGGAGGAAGGTCACTGCAGTGGGAGGAAGGTCAGGTCACTGCAGTGGGAGGAAGGTCAGGTCACTGCAGCGGGAGGAAGGTCAGGCCACTGCAGCGGGAGGAAGGTCAGACCCGGGAGGAAGGTCAGGTCACTGCACCGGAGGAAGGTCAGGTCACTGCAGCGGGAGGAAGGTCAGGCCACTGCAGCGGGAGGAAGGTCAGGTCACTGCAGCGGGAGGAAGGTCAGGTCCGGGAGGAGGTCACGGTCACGCCCGGAGGAAGGCAGGTCACGTCACGCAGGTGGGAGGAAGTCAGGCCACTGCACCGGGAGGAAGGTCAGGTCACTGCAGTGGGAGGAAGGTCAGGCCACTGCAGCGGGAGGAAGGTCAGGTCACTGCAGCGGGAGGAAGGTCAGGCCACTGCAGCGGGAGGAAGGTCAGGTCACTGCAGTGGGAGGAAGGTCAGGCCACTGCAGCGGGAGGAAGGTCAGGCCACTGCACCGGGAGGAAGGTCAGGTCACTGCAGCGGGAGGAAGGTCAGGCCACTGCAGCGGGAGGAAGGTCAGGTCACTGCAGTAGGAGGAAGGTCAGGTCACTGCAGTGGGAGGAAGGTCAGGTCCGGGAGGAAGGTCAGGTCACTGCAGCGGGAGGAAGATCAGGTCCGGGAGGAAGGTCAGGCCACTGCAGCGGGAGGAAGGTCAGGTCACTGCACCGGAGGAAGGTCAGGTCACTGCAGTGGGAGGAAGGTCAGGCCACTGCAGCGGGAGGAAGGTCAGGCCACTGCAGCGGGAGGAAGGCCCGCCCTGGGGGACCACGGTCTCTGTCCCGAGGAGCCACAGCAGATGCTGACGTCGGAAGCCAGTCCTCTGAGCACCAACGAGGAAGACGCTCTCGGTTAAAAACGCCTTCTCTTTCCCAGCTTGACGTGCTCTTTGGGAATCTGACCGAGATGGTGGAGTTTCAAGTGGAATTCCTGAAAACTCTGGAAGATGGAGTGAGGCTCGTCCCAGATTTGGAAAAGCTCGAGAGGGTCGATCAGTTCAAGGTCAGTGGGTCCTCGGAGGGGAAAGCTGCCCAGGCCTCAGGCGGGGTAGGGGGGCAGGAGACGGGGGCAAGAAAGGGGGGGCGGGGCGGCCTGGGGAGGAGGAGGCGGGAAGCAGAAGGAGACCACGCCGGGCCTCACCTGCCCTTCACGTGGGTTCCTAAGCAGCCGGTCTGTCCCAATTCTTGCTATGTTCATTCGCTCCACCAGAAGCAGCCTTTATCGGCCTGCAGGAGCTGGTGAGGAGGCTCAGTCTGCCTTTTCCGAACGCCCCGGCTTCTCATTCACACCCCACACCCCACACCATACTTCACACCTCACACCGCACCCCACACCCCACACCCTCACCCACACCCCACACCCCACACCCACACTGCACACACCACACACCCACACCCCACACCCCCCACCCACACCCCACACCCACACCGCACCGGCCCTTCAGTCACCGGCTGCCCGGCCGAGTGGCTCGGGGATTGGCATCGACCCATGAACCACACTCGCTTCCATACCTGGTCAGGGCTCAGGCCCAGGTTGTGGGCTCGATCCCCAGTGTGGGGCGTGCAGGAGGCAGCCGATCGATGACTTTCTCATCGATGCTTCTCTCCCTCTTCCTTCCTCTCTGAAATAAATAGAAACACATTTTAAAAACACAAGTAACACTGGCCGAGAAAACCGGCATCCACATTATAATTACTGAAAAGGCCAAACCCAAAACCCGTCACCCAAGTGTGGAGCCCACGTGCTTAGGGGCCAGTTTCAGCAGCTGAGGGGGAGGCTGGACTGGGTGGTGGTGCTGAGGGGGAGGGGGTGGCGGTGCTGAGGGGGAGGGGGTGGTGGTGTTGAGGGGGACGGGGTGGTGCTGAGGGGAGGCTGGACGGGGTGGCGGTGCTGAGGGGGACGGGGTGGCGGTGCTGAGGGGGAGGGGTGGCGGTGCTGAGGGGGACGGGGTGGCGGTGCTGAGGGGGAGGGGGTGGCGGTGCTGAGGGGGATGGGGTGGCGGTGCTGAGGGGGAGGGGGTGGCGGTGCTGAGGGGGACGGGGTGGCGGTGCTGAGGGGGAGGCTGGACGGGGTGGCGGTGCTGAGGGGGACGGGGTGGCGGTGCTGAGGGGGACGGGGTGGCAGTGCTGAGGGGGACGGGGTGGCGGTGCTGAGGGGGAGGGGGTGGCGGTGCTGAGGGGGACGGGGTGGCGGTGCTGAGGGGGACGGGGTGGTGGTGCTGAGGGGAGGGGGTGGTGGTGCTGAGGGGGACGGGGTGGCGGTGCTGAGGGGGACGGGGTGGTGGTGCTGAGGGGGACGGGGTGGCGGTGCTGAGGGGGAGGGGGTGGCGGTGCTGAGGGGGACGGGGTGGCGGTGCTGAGGGGAGGCTGGACAGGGTGGCACGGGAACTGACCAGGCTTTTCTGTCAAATCCAGAAGGTGCTCTTCTCCCTCGGGGGCTCCTTCCTGTACTACGCCGACCGCTTCAAGCTGTACAGCGCCTTCTGCGCCAGCCACACCAAGGTGCCCAAGGTGCTGGTGAAAG